ACCTCATAATCTTTCCTCTGGAAATCGTCGAGCATCTCGGCGGTATAGTCATCTTGTTTCATGTAGAACTGAACGGATGAAATTTTGGGCGCTTTTCCATTATCGGGGGGGGTAACTCTTTCACTAGTATCCAATTGTTATGATACAAATAGAAGAAGTGTTTCTATTCCAAAAATACAAAAATATGATTGAATTCATAAATATTGGGTGTTTTTCCATTATCGGGGGTAACTTTCTTCTCTAGCAACTAATATACATAGACAAGAAGTTTCTACACTATTTTTTATTATGATTCAAAGCAAAAACTGTACAAATTTTTATCAAAAAATCGAAAAATATTTCTTTTTCGACCAAAACTCGCCGTTTCTCGGTCAAAAATTCCCTTTTTTAAAGCGGTGGCGATATTAAACAGTTTTTTCAAGTTAAATCTAGTTAAATTTTACTAAAAACAATCAAAAATATTTAATTACGTTAAATTTCTCGACCTAGACGAAAAAATCCACTCCCCCCGATAATGTAAAAGTACCACCAATACTCTCTCCAACCGTTTTTATCACCTACCTGCAAATTCTCAATGGTCTCCTGGTGCTCGGGGTTTCGCACGAGGTACGTGTACGCCGCTTTTACAGCATTTTTCAGGTCGCCAAGCTGAAAATAGGCATTAAAATTGGCCAAAATCTGTACATCTGCATCAAATTACTTAATACATGTAAAAAACTTTAAAACACAATTTCTACTCACATGCCAATAGCAAATGTGCATGTATCGGTAGGGTTCGCGCTCCTCGAGCTCGAACCAGAGGAGATGGCGCTGCGGGGGAGGGCGGTCTTCGCCGAGTCGCTCCACTTTACACCTCAAAAAGCGTCATAAATACATATAAAACGCCATAATAAGATTTAAGGTAATTCCGAGACAAACCTAAAGAGGCAGAGCGCCTTTTGGGCCGTCAGATGGGTGAGGGCCATTCCGGAGGCCTCGGCGCTGGACGGGTACTTCATTTCGCACATCTCTCGACACCAAATCGTCTCGTCGTTGTAGTAGCTTAGTTTATGGATTATATTGTTCGAATATAGCGCCATGAAATCTACTTTTAAGCCTCACCTAAGCCCAAGCGAAGCCTAAGCCTACGCCTAAGCCCAAACATAAGCCTAAACTTAAGTCAAGTCTAAGCATAAGCTTAAGCCTAGTCCTAAGCTCAAGCTTAAGCCTATGTCTATGCCTATGCCTGAGCATGAGCCCAAGTCTAAGCCTAAGCCAAGTCCAGACGAAGTCAAAGCCAGGCCTAAGCCCAAGCCTAAGCCTATGCCTAAGCCTAAGGCTATGCCTAAGCCTAACAATAAGCCTAAGCCTGCGCCGAAGTCGACCGAGACCTAAGCCCAAACCTGCCTTAGTCTCCGCCTAAGCCGCTAAGCCTAAGCGAAGCGTTAACCTAAGCCTATTCGACCTACTTATAATCCTCGACGGTCCGCCGCATAAACCCAACACAATCCGTCCATTCTTTCTTCGTATAGGCTTGCTTCCCAGCCGTATACAGCTGCTCGTAGGTGATCGTCGGCTCATCACTGTTACTTTTGGCCAAACTGACCAAGCAGCTGAAGCCAAGGAGCAGCTTTAGTAGGCTCGGCTTCATGTCTGAAGCTTTTCCTAGTTTTTCGATTCCACTAACTATCGGCTAACAGAAGTATGGAAAATCATGAATATTTTAGCGGAAACGTCGAGATTAAATGGTCAAGTTCGTTAGAAGGCTTTAAGGAATAAAATTCACTTCTTTTAGCCAAGCTATCAAGAAAAAGCTGCTGATTTTGGGCGAGAATCAAGACCACAAACTAAGAAACTGGCCCACTAGCCTTAGACGAAGAAGCTGGGGTGTAGAGGGCGAATGACCGGCTGACCTCGAGTGTAAACTGGGAGCCCCCAGACCGACCAGCTGGCCGACTGGGGCTCAAAGCTTTTTCGCTGCTGTCGATTCACCCATTCTTGGTTGCGTAGATTCTTTAGATCTCGATCGAATTAGGCTTCGCGCATCCAACGAGCTCGCGCTCAACAACACTCGAGTACGAGCTCCCTGTTTCTCTAGTAATCGCCTGAAAGGTGTGTGTATTTTAAATGGTGCCGAAACAAGCGCAAGCTGGTTCGCTGTAGAAAGTGTTTTTTCCTTTCTGAACTGTATTCCTGACTATTCTAAGCCAAGTCTGGTCTACGCCTAAGTCTAAGCCGAGCGAAGCCTAACCTTAAGCCTAACCTTAAGCCTAAAGCTAAACCTAACTTAAGCCTAGGCCTAAGTTTAAGCCCAACCTAAGCCAAAGCCTAACCTATCACTAAGGCTAAGCCTATGCCTCAGTCTTGGCCTAAGCCGTGGCCTTGGCCTAAGCCAAGCCTAAGTCTAAGCGTAAACTCCTAACCTAAGCCCCTAAGCCAAGCCTAAGCCTAAGCCTTGACCTAAGCTTAAGCCTAACAAGCCTTGTAAGCCTTGATCTAAACCTACGCCCCAGTCCAGGCTTGAGCCATCACCTCAAGAATATTCCCATGTTTAGGCTTACATGAAATTCAGCCCCTATCTAATTACCGTTTCGTTGCTCAAGCTTTTGCAATGCCCCATTTCGGGCCCAGCAATTTATCAGGCGCCCATTTCGAGGTCCACGTAGGGCATATTCACGTGAAAAACTGATTGACGCAGGCGCACACGGCACGGTCGCCAAGCGATCTCCCCCCGCGCAAGGCCACCCACCGGACCGTTGTCGACCAAAAAGCAGCAGCCGCTAGCTAGTTGCACCTAATGAAGTTCATCGGAACAGCGCGCCGCGCAGAATTTCGGTCCCCTGGTGACGAGCCGGGCCCAAAATATATTCCCATGGCTATTATATAGGCGTCATTCCCCGGCCGGCGGCCATTCCTTCCCCCCATTGAAATTCGGCATTTCCCCCAGATCATTAAATCGTGTATTGGAGCGGAAATTGTTAATTTCCGCCTGTTTCCGAGCCCAAATTGCATTTCTCTCATTCGTGTTTTGTTTTCAGTGAATCAGGTGTGGTGGCGGGAAGCGAAAATTCGCGAAAAAAGCATTTTCTGGCTTTCGCGCCCAATTTTGCAAAAAAGATGGAAAATCGACTTAATAGCTTTTTGTTATCAACTATAACCAGGGTTGAAAAGCCGCTTCGCGACTTTTCAACCCTGGCCCCCGTCTAATCCTATGGTGTTCTTGATTTTGCATAATTGTGCCCCAATTCCGATGACAAAAAATGAAAAAGCTTTCTTTGGGCCTTTATATAGGCTACTGCAACTTCCGGCGTATGCTAATTTTCTCCTAACAAAGTGGATGGCCGATTTTTTACGAAAAACCTAATTTTAATGTCGAAAACAACATATTTTACAAAATCTGTTATTTGTGCAGTCATCTCAGCGCCATTACGCACCTAATGATGTATCAAACATCTCCTTACACCCCTCCCCTCTTGAGATATCCTCCGGACACGCTGACGGAAGTTGTATGCAAAGTGGCATACACACACACAGACACTATTTTTTTATATATAGTAGGATAATTTTCTTGACGCGTCTGTCTGTCTGTGTGAAGCCGAATTCAACTCGAAGGGGAAAAGAGCTAGAGCTTAGCTCTCTTCGGATTCGGATAGAGCGCCGTCAGAAACCCCCAAACTGATAAAAAATTATGAAAAACTTTTAGTTTAAATTATTAAAATTAACTTTGAAAGTTTTTCCTTAGTAAAAGGAGTGGGCCCCTCTCCCGGGAGGCCACGCTCCCTTTCCCCTCGCCCCTCTTCGCCAGGCCCCTTCCCGCGCCCAGATCGCTTTCTTAAGTTACTTTAATACTTTTTAATATACTTTTTAGTACTTTTAATTATGTTAATTAATTATTTAAATCATCGAAAGCCATCAGGAAGGTATTTAGGTAGTTTTTGAAGGGGATTTCAGCCATGGGGGGTATCTGAAGCCATCAGGAAGGTATTTAGGTAGTTTTTGAAGGGGATTTCAGCCATGGGGGTATCTAAGCCATCAGGAAGGTATTTAGGTAGTTTTTGAAGGGATTTCAGCTATGGGGTATCTGAAGCCATCAGGAAGGTATTTAGGTAGTTTTTGAAGGGGATTTCAGCCATGGGGGTATCTGAAGCCATCAGGAAGGTATTTAGGTAGTTTTTGAAGGGGATTTCAGCCATGGGGGTATCTGAGCCATCAGGAAGGTATTTAGGTAGTTTTTGAAGGGGATTTCAGCCATGGGGGTATCTGAAGCCATCAGGAAGGTATTTAGGTAGTTTTTGAAGGGATTTCAGCCATGGGGGTATCTGAAGCCATCAGGAAGGTATTTAGGTAGTTTTGAAGGGGATTTCAGCCATGGGGGGTATCTGAAGCCATCAGGAAGGTATTTAGGTAGTTTTTGAAGGGGATTTCAGCCATGTGGGGTATCTGAAGCCATCAGGAAGGTATGTATTTAGGTAGTTTTTGAAGAGGATTTGGCTGGGGGAGGTATCTGTAGCCATTAGCGGCGGTATTTTTGGAAAGGTAGGGATGGATGTGATGGTGTATGGCATGAAGGGAAGCCCGAAGGCCAGATGGTTACAGTCGCGAAGCGACTGTAATTACAGTCCGTTACTATCGTAAAAACATCTGGTTTTTACGATAGTAACGGACTGTTTTTTCGAACTGCTTAGGTTCTTTCTCCTTATCGGGGGGACGAATTTTTGCATAAATCTAGAAACGTATAGTAAGGATAGCAAATATTTTGATAGTTTTTCGTCAGATTTAGCTATATTTCTAGTGAAAACACAATCTAAAAAGCTTTAAATTCCAAAATTTTGCCGAAATCGGCCATTTTTGTGTCGAAAATGTCTTTTTTGTGATTTTTCGTGCAAATTTGTAAAATTTTAGCGTTTAGGAAAGTAAAAACCGTTTAGAAAAACGCCTATCTTCATATTAGAAAATTTGTAAAAGAAATAAACAGGGTTTCCCCGATAAACCCCCACCGATAATGCACAAGAATCATTTTGAGGCTAATTTGAGCATTTTTACATTTTCAAAATTGACAAATTTACAAATGTCATTTTGTAAAGGCAGAAAAATGCATATTTCCGAATCCGCCCTATTCTCATGCCGTTCGTTCCACTCCAAAATTCAGGCACCCCAGCAGGCCCTTTGCAACAAATTGCCTCCTCCTCCTCCTGCTCCTGGCCAGGGCGGTGCCTGGGCCCCATAATTGCCACCGGAATGTTTGGGCCCCCTCCCCACCCAGAACACTCCTAATTTTGTTTCTCATTTCGAGGGCCCCCAGGGAAAACAATCCTCCGCTACCGCCGCCCGGAATTCCCTGAATTTCGCCTCTCCCCCTTTTCTGGCTTCCCGTCGCGCCAAATTTGAAAAATCCCCCCTTTCAACGGCTTCTTCTTCCCCTTTTCTAACGAGCCTCTTCTTTGTGCCGCGCCAGCCCTGAAAAAGTGCTCAGAGTGAAAATATTTTTTGTAGTGCCAAAACTTGACGGGCTAATTCCCTTTTTTGGGGAACCCCCACCGCCGCGGGTTTTTTGGTGATTAAAAATAAGGTACTATTGCATTATCGGGGGGCGGGGGGGTTAATGCTTTTCCTAGGGCGTTTTACTTTGTAATTTTTTGCAAATTTGTTAAAATCTATTATGGCGAGGTTCTTGTGCAGTATCCAATTTTTTTGTATGAGCCTAGAAATGCCAATTAATGTAATAAAAAGTCCCCCAATAGTGTTTTTAGTATAATTTAACTATATTTAGATTAAATAAAAAACTACAAAACTACTTCAAATTTTTTGAAATTTGTAAAATTCGAAATTGTGCTCGAAAATTGACCATTTTTGGGCGAACACTCGTTTTCAGTTCGAAACTATTTGTTGGAATTTACAGTAAATTTTATAACTTAAAGTAATTTACAGTTTTTACGTTCAGGAGTAGTAAAAAATTTTTAGAAACACAGCATTTATTAACATCTGGAAAATGGGGTATGAACGAAAATTCATACTTATGAAATTCAAAAAAAGATTAAGTATGATTTGAAAAAGACGCACAAATCCTTCACGGAAATTCGGCCACGTCCGACTGCTTTAAACGCGCTTTTAATAAAGCGTACCGCGCATTTGCGCGCAAGTTTTTTGATTTTTCGATTATCTTTTTAGGGGTCCTCCTGAATATGACCCGATTCCGGCTTCTAATTGGAATCCCCGGGCAGCGTCAAGTTATGCACGACATTCCGTTTCCCATTCTATTCCCCCTCCCCCGCTTTGCCATGCATTTTCGAGATCGAACGAGATGTCGTACTCACTTTCCTTCCTCCCATTCCCTTTCCTTCTCCTTCTCCATCTTCTCCTGCTCCCACGTTCCCCCTCCTCTGTCCCAAACGCTTTTTTTTCGGGTGCTGCTCTCGCGAGTGTGTCTCACGCCGATTTCTCAGCCTCGTCCTCCTCCCTATTTCGCGCCTTTGTGCCAACAGCACTTGTGCCAAAATACTCCCAAACGCCCGACACCACCACTCTGCTACCCTCGTTCTCCACCTCCTCCTCCTCCTCCTCCTCACCCAACATCGATCATCGAGCCAGAGGGGAATCGACGGGTTATATTATTTTTTATCTTCTGAATTTGGTAGAATATTCATGTTATTAAATCTGCATCTGAAGCCTAGCCTAAGCCTGAGCTTGAGAAGAGCTAAGCCTACTTAACGTAAATTTCCAAATTTTTAGATAGTTTTTCTACTTGAAATATGGTTACATTTTACATGTTTTTTGACAACGTCGAGAAATGTATAGTAACTTAATAGGAAGCGTTTTCAAAGTGTTTTTCGTACAATATGATTATATTTAAATAAACCAGAAAAACCATCCAAAAATTAAAAAAGCAAAGTTTTGCTATTTTTATAAAAAGTTGTAAAGTGTTGACGTTTTGGAATAGTAAAAAATCCCTTAAGAAGCACTGCACTATCTTTATTTGAAAAGTAAGATCCTCGGAAAGGAAACTGCCCCCCGATAATGCGCAAGAACCAAATCCAGATTGACAATTAGTTTTAGAGCCATACCAAGCCCGGGTTTTTTTCCCAAGACCAACGCGAGGCATCCGCTGACGACACCTATGAATCATAAGCCCGGCATTTAGCCCGCCATAAAAGCCCGTCATCCCGGCCAACCGTTTGTCCGGCTTCACCAGAAATCTATGTACCCCCCCCCCCGCTAATAACCACTATTTTCGCGCTGTGACAGGGCGCTGTTTTCGGCTTGTTCCGCCTCCCGTCCCCTTCCGCCTTTTTATTCGAACACCAAGCCCGGAATACACCCATACCGAATACGTTCACGTGCCATTCTCCTGGATTATAAATTCAGCAGCGCGTTCATCGAAAATGAAAGCTTTTTCGAAAGCTACAAACTATCCTATTGTACTATTCGGTTCTTTAGCATTATCGGGGGTGGGGGAGGGAACGAAACTACTTGAATGAGTCCAGAAATCCATAGTAAATCCATATGAAGTATTCTAATAGCGCTTTGATAAACTCAAACTATATATTTTAATTTTAACTTGAAAAACTATCTTAAAACTAACGTCAAGCCATTTTCAACTTTTCAAGCCTTTTTCCGGGGCTTTGGACGCTTGGTCCGCTTGAAATTTAGTTAAATTTTGACAAAATTATTTTCTTAAAAACTATTAAAAAAGTTTTTTTAAGTTGCTAGCGATTTCTAGACTTCTACACCCCCCCCCCCGATAACGGAAAAGAACCGTCGCTCGAAAAACATTGTCTTTTTCATAAAGTCACTCTGCGCTTTTGCATTGTCGGGAAAAATTCACCTAGAAATACCCTAACATTAAATTATAACGGTTTGCAATTTGAGAAGCCGGAAGGCAGCGCCCGCTTTTGCCATCTGCCCGATCCGGTTTCCAATGAATAAACAAACTGTGGGCGGGGGCTGTCAATAGAGGCCATCGCCTATACCCATCACTACTACATACCAAGTATTTGTAGTCCGTGTTCGCGCTTTTTTTGAACAAATACCACATCTGCGCCAGTCGGGCGGAAAGCCCTTGTGTAAATCAACGCCATTGATATTTTGCTGGGGAAACCCCAGTTGGCGTTGAAGCTTGTTTTCAGAAGGTTATTCCTGGTTTTTCGGGTTTGAAAGTCATTTTCGAGGGAAAACACTTTTTCTAATAGAAATAGATGAATAACTTCTATATAGATAGAGAAATTATTTCTAAACTGTTTTGTACCATCCGTGAAAGGTAAACAAAATTACAAAGTCTACTCAGTAATCCAAAAAAATAGTGCTTTTTTTTACAAAAAAAAAGGCGATCCTACCGAAATTTTTTGATAAAATTCGTTGAAATTTTTGATAGCGTTTTAGGTAGTTTTTCCACTCGAAATATAGTTAAATTATGCTAAAAAAACTATTAAAATTTATTTTAAATTAAATATATTTATTTATTTTTGATTTATTCCTGCTTTTTTATTTTTTTTATTACTAGGAATTCCTGGGCTTGTAAAAACTCGGCTTCCCCTGATAACCCCCCCCCCCCGGCTAGTGCAAAAGCACCAACACTTAATTTTAGACAGGAATTTTAACAATTCCGGAAGCATTTTCTGCGCTGATGTTGCCTTCGAGTTCAGGCTACGCGACACTCCACACCACGCGCATCAACCGATTACATGCTCTAATGAACGACCGAGTTATTGCTTTTTAGATTTTGACCAAAACTTGTAGAAATCCATACAAAAAAGGGCGATTTCCCTATCAAAAAATCCCTGGGCTCAATTTCACCTTGTTTTCCTTCCCACACCTTGGCTCCTCCTACTTATTTGCTTTAGAAGCCGGCCCGGACACGGCGCTGGATTTGGGGACGAGCCACTGAGAAGAACGAACAATGATATGTTGCACCATCGACGCGCCGCTCGCTACCTCAACGCCATAATTGCCTTTAGTTTTGTAAGTGATATATAGAAGTATTTCATTTTGCCTTTCAGCTGGGTATTCTGTTCATCTACTTTGGCCGTTCTAGCCCTGGGATCGATAGTTCGACGCAATGGAGTCGGCCGCAGTTAGATCCATCTTTATTCAGGTCAGGATTCCTCATATTGATGGGCTAAAATTGTTTTACAGGATCGCCGAAGAGTCGCTGAATCTCCCCTTGGAAAAAGCACCGAATTTTTTGGCGGTGGGGATTTGAAACTTTACTTTTCGAAGTTTTTGGTGCTAATTCCACCAATTAGTGTATTTCACTCCATGTACGGCTAATTATCTTACACTTACAGCCGGTAGCTAGATTTTCACAGTGTGGTCCCGTTGAATAATTTTGTATTGATATAAACAATTTCATGCCCCACATAAACCTTTTTAGAATAAGTTTTAGCTTGTAAACCATTCACTTTTAGAATAGCACCCAGTCTCAGGAGGCAAAATCGTCGGTCAGACTAAACCTCTCCGATTGGTATATCACAGGTAGCATCCAAGAAGCCGCGCCAAAAAAAACATCCATTTTTAGCAAAATCCTTGCCGCTGACCGGCGCCGAAGTGGTGAAATCGGTGAATTTCCTGAATGAAAACTTCCAAGTGTTGAACCTCGACAAATTCGGTCCACTTGAAGAGGTCCAGTATGTGATCGTCGTTCAGGTAGGATGATGCGGCAGTTGCAAAAGTATCGATAACCGTTCAGGTTCACGACCGTGCCGCCTACCTCAAGATTTTGATCGACACGCTACGGGTGGCCACCGGCATCGAGAAATCGCTGATTATCTTCTCGCACGACATCGCGTTGGCCGAGATCAACCAACTGATCCGGGGCATTGAATTTGCGCGGGTAGGTCGTGAACTTAAATCGAAATGTTGTTAGTTAAAAATTCGCGAAACCGCGTGGTTTTTTGTATATTCAGGGGCAGACTCCTAGGATCTGATTCTTCTAAAATAAGCAGGGGAAGCGTTTTAAACTTTTTTGCCATTCCCAGGCTGAAAAATATAAAAATGTTCCTTTAAAAATTTTCGACTAAAATATCAAATTTTTAGAGATTTTAATACTTTGGGAAAATATTTTTTGACGCGAACTAATTAGAGTTGCCAGCGGGAAAATTAGATCTTTAATCGAAAATCCTCAAAAATTTCTTAACGTGGTTTCGATACTTGCAGATCCGACAATTCACGAGCAGCCAATTTCCAGGTGCTCCAAATCTTCTACCCCTATAACACGCAGCTGTTCCCACACGTTTTCCCCGGCCAGCATCCGGACGATTGTGCGGAGAAGTGGCGCGCGAAGGGGGCCACGTCAAAATGCCGAAACTGGCAGACGCCGGATAAATACGGGAACTATCGCGTCTCCAAACTCACCCAGATCAAGCATCATTGGTGGTGGAAGGTAGGTGGCTTTTAGTCCAATTGAAAGAGCTTTCTAAATAGTAATATAGCGCTTTTAAATATCATTTTTTGTCCAGATGAACTACGTGTTTGACCGGGTTGTCGCGCCGTACAAGCTCGATGAAAAGTGGGTGGTACTGCTGGAAGAGGACCATTACGCCAGCCCCGATTTTCTGCACGTCCTTACATATATGGCTGAGAATAGAGAAAGGTATTAAATTGTTATTGTTTTAAAGCTATGAAGAATTAAATTGCTACTTAATTCTACTTTTACGCTATTAATGAAAAGATGTTAACTTAATTTGAACGTTAATTTAACGCTGTTTAAACGGCGCTTAGAAGACGTCTAATGACTTTTATACTATTAAACCTCACTTATTCGAAACGTGGGCTCATTTTCAGCCTCTGCCCTCAATGCGACATCCTTTGCCTCGGCATCTACATCAAGAACTACCAAAGTGCCGCCCTACAACCCGAACATTTAGGTGGGTTTCGGTTTTTTATCTCGGATCCAAAATCTTTCCACTTTTGCTGTTTGCTTTTAAATAGAAAAATCGTCTTTTGAAAAAAGTTTAATCTATCTTTCAAGGTTTCAATATGAATTTCCTGAAACTCCTCCCCTCTAGGCGCCGCCCCGTGGTACTCCAGCAAATACAACATGGGCATGACGATCAGGAAGCAGCTGTGGGATCAGATGAAGAACTGCAGCGAGGTGGGCTTCGTCTACTAGACGTTCATTACCCCAGATTTTTCATGTGGCCGGTTTTCGGCTTGCGGAGGTTAAATTTAAGTAGCAAAAATTTAAAAATTCGACATTTTGTCGAAAAAAATTTTTGTGTATATAGTGTATGTATGTATTCACCACATCGATGTGTCCATAGATTTTCTGCGCGTGGGACGACTACAATTGGGACTGGTCAATGCTGCAGGTCAGTGTGCAATGCCTGCCGGCCAGGTGGAAGGTGCTCTACACGAAGGCGCCGCGCGTCCTGCATATCGGCGACTGCGGCGTGCACACCCATCGGTTGGTTCCTGGGCCTTTTTTATCTCTTATTTACGTCCCGCTCACGAATCTAGACTAGCAACGCGATTTTTCGGGTACAAAAACGACGCAAACGCAGGGATTTTTCAGCTTTTTAACATCCAGATAAAGAATTAGGACTAGCAATCATTTTCCGTCTACAAAAACGACGCAAAGCCAGGGCTTTTCGGCTTTTTAACATCCATATATAGGATTAGGGCTTGTAACGCCTTTTTGCTAGGTGTACCGCGAGAAATCCGGCGCGCTTTGACCTTTTTGAAGTCCAGATAAGACAAAATAGTTTCCTAGGTGCAACACGAAAAAGGGCGTCGAAATGGCCGCCGACTATGTGCAGCGACACGCCGAGAAATTCTTCCCGACGACGATGCGCGTCAGCGACGTAGGTCATGCGTGCGTGGCGTCTTCAGATGCCTTTCCAGGTGTCCCGGCGTATGCTGAAACCGTCGAAGGCGAATGGCGGCTGGGGCGACCCGCGCGACCACACGCTCTGCCGGCGCAACACGTCCCCGCTGCTTTCCGGCACTAAACACGATGCGGTAGGTGTTCATCAACTATTTAACGACTTTGGAGAGGCATAAAACTTCTAAAAATAGCAAAATACCAAAAACGATTTTTCGGAAGGCGTTCATACATTATTTTTCCCTTATAAAAGATAGAGAACTACTAAAACATACCAAAAATACAGAAAAAAACAGGAACTTGATGAAAAATAGCCTTTCAGGTTCTCGACGAACTGTTGAATAGTACAATACACCTCGATTAGCCGACTAGCACTTCAGAAGACAACTTATATCCATTCTTGCCGCCCCATCCCGTACCCGATTCCCGACATTCCACACTTCTGGTCTCTCATCCCCCTGTGCTCCTCTCCATACCGCATAATTATTTTCACCCCCTAGGTGTGCTATTCGCTATCACTCTCTCTCTCTCTCGCTCTCTCACTCCCTCTCAAGCAAACTGTGCTATTTTTGTACCTCTGCTCAACGGATTTTGCTTGCGCGTGATTTTCTTAATTTTTATTTTGGAACGACGGGTATGCAGATATAAAGATATTCGTTTTGAGGCACACGTATATTTTTATGGAATCACTAGATACAGGTAATTACGGTATCATTATTTGACCCGCAAGGGCATCGAATAGATCGATACGTATTATATTGGCAAAGTATAACAAGCAGGAAACCATACGCGATTTCTAGGGTTCAAGGGTCTTTAGTTCAACACGGCGTTGTCGGCGTACTTCGATGAATTGCACAGATGAGTCGTCGTCCTTTGCCGCCGTGGACGCCCTAAAAACCGGGAAGATAAAAAAAACCAAAGCGCTGATTAACAAAAATTTAAACTCACGAATTGTCGGTTTGTTCGTCTCCGATGGTTACTACTTGGGGTTCCGGCTGGGCAGCGCCGGCCTCATTGTTCTCGGCCGTTTTCTCCTGCGGACGCGGAAAGAACCTGGAAAAAGGCCTCATTTTGAAAGGAAAAATGTTTACTTTGTTAGCTTCGGCGTGCTGGTTGGCGTGGAGGCAATGGCGGGACGTTTGGCTTTCGGGGTCCTCAAAACAAGATTTTCAGACGGTTAAATGCAGCAAAATCGTGACAATTGAGCACTTATAGATAAAAAACTACTTTGGGGTTTTCGGCGTTTCATGTTTCGGTGTCCCTTGTGTCATCACTTGCGACAGGGCGTTGTCCGTCTCGCTGGATCGCTCTTCGTCGCCTCCCGCCTCTTCTTTCGTCTTCACTTTGCGCTTCCGGACCTGAGAATCAGGGTAACATTTCAACACGTCAGATTGAAGAAAAAGTCATTTTTCGAGAACATGCAAATTCCCGCACCTTGATCAACTGTGGGGAAGGTGGTGGTGGTGGGCGCTGCTCATCGGCCAACACTTCGCCCCATTCTGACATTGTCAGCCGGAAGAAGCTGTTGTACCTAAACAAAGTAGTCAAAAAAAAGAAAGATAAATACCCTTCGAGCGAAGAAACGACCAGCTGTTGCCCGTCAGAACTCCAGGACGCGTCGGTGAGACTGTTGTAGTGAATGTTGTCGATGTAGCCAATCGCTTGCATATGTTGCGAGTCGAAGAAATATATTTGCGAGACCGTGAGTGCCACCCAGATGATGCGGTAGGGTAAACTGAAATAAATTAGTTAATAAAGACCCGAACGCGGAAGCGAGAGATCGAAAAACTAAACTGAAATACCAACCCTGAATAATTTTGCTTTTCCCCGTCCACCAGTTTAAATATCACGGGGCACATCCGTACAACAAACGTCGCCTTTTCGGTCGGCAACAACGCGAACGGCTTTTCTCTAAAAGAAAATATTCAGATTGCTAGATTACTAAAAAATCCTCACTTATCGATTTCGGTCCTCTTAAAAATCCACACGCCGAAAACGTCTTGTGTGCCGACTTCGAGTTGCGCGGCTAAAAAATCTCATAAATCATTGAAAAATTAATTCAACCTGGACACACGATCAGCTCACCACACGGAGAAAATTGTAGCCCCCGCTGGAAACTGGCGAGTTGGTCGTCGTGCCATAGGCGATATGGCTGAACTTAGAATATGTAGTCAAAATGGAAAACATACTTTGGCTTCGGCGTGCAATCCACCAATACTCCGTGCTGGAAGCTCGGCCATGGCGATTGCTTTCAACTTCGTTCCCTTTACGCAATCGAGAATATCCATCTTGCGATCTTTGGACAAGGTAATCAGATATTTCCCTCTTGGGTCCCAGGTGATTCCATTGGGAAAGTTGCGCAGATTCCGCAGGCAGATCGTGCGCTTCCCTAAAAAGTGCATGAAAAACCGGAAAAACAACACTACCAGTGCTCACTTCGTGAACCAACAAGTTACAATCATGGCCGACGCTAGCCAGCATTTTACCGTCAGGGCTCCAGACGAGAGCCGAGACATCTTCCTCGTGGTTTAGGACACGTTGTCTCACCTGAAAACGAAGCCCTATATTTTAACAATTCTATCAAGTGATTTAAAATTCCTCGTTTTTAAGACACAAATCTAGATAAAACTAGATTCAATGGCCGACTTAAGATTCGTACCCAATTTTCCTTATTCACAGGCATATCATCGTCTGGTGTCGGCGCCGGTGGCTGGTCCGAAAGACTCCAAATCACAATGCGGCCCTCCGAATCACCAGAAGCAAGTAAATTTTCTAGAAATACATTGTTGAATCATAAATAAAATCTTACCAGTTGCCACGGGCGCAAAGCGAACAACGTTGATCGAAGTGTTATGACAGGCCATGTTTGCTAGAAAGGCCACAACGTGCTCATTCCTGGGCATCACATAGCCGAATTCCCAGATTCGAACTTCTTTCTGACAAAAAGGTCGTTGGTGCTGCAAGCCAGGCATACCTGCATCGATGAGGTAGCAATCCTATACCGCCCATCCTTCACTAACGGATGAAAATCCACAGAAAGAATACCCTTCCGGTCATGCCAGCAGATTTCTGGCATGTATTGCTGCATTATGGAAGGGCCTGAAAATGTTCATTTTGATAAAACTAAATGAATTATATGTGAGAATGATAAAAAAATCTAGTTAAGTCAAATTTTCGGACGGTCCTGTAAAATAGTCTCTAAAGAAATCTTCAACCTTTTGGCATTTCGATGGTACTTTAAATTCTGTCATTTCGCGCGAGAAAGGCCCTGGCGGGAACCAGAGTGTATGCGAATGCAGAGGGCCGAAACAGCCCTAGAATCACGTCAAGGGCCCCGGGGTCCTGCCAGTTACAAAATTTGCCCCAATGAACTCTTATAAAGAGGGGTTTCAACGTTTCCCTTTTACGGCGGTTTCAGCAAAATACACACACGATTTATCGATTTATGAGGATCAAATCAATGGCTAGTATCACAGTATAGTGCAAGGGAAAGGAGTGATGTACAACAGCATCTATGGAGATTTATGGAGATGAAATCAATGGCAAGTATCACAGTATAGTGCCAGGCAGAGAATTGATATACAGCAGAATTTATAGATTTATGAGGATGAAATCAATGGCAAGTAGCACAGTATAGTGCAAGGGAATGAATTCCTATACAAGCTGTTGCGCAGTGGATAAACAACCCTGGTTCACTGGATCCGGGATCGCACAAAATCAGTCGGGAGTATCACAGTATCAGGTTACGGAAAGAAATAATCTACAAGCGGTTCAAAGCTCAAGCAACAAGCGTTGATCAAAGTATGTGGACAGAGTCTCAAGCACCTGGAAATCTAGGCCTATCGTGGATGGCAACGTGTGGCCCGAGGCGTTGGCTTCATCTGCGGAGTCGACATCTGTGTCCGCTTCGAGATCGTTGACCTTATCCTTCTCCGAGGTCGTCTGCTCTTGAGCTTTTGTGCCCATTTTTGCTCGCACCTTGCCTGCAAAAATGTAGGTGTGCGCGCCTCAAATTTTCGTCCAAAAATCAGGGTCATCAGGGTCTAATTTCAAAAGGTTTAAAAAGCTACCTTGGGAGGATGTCAGAAGCGCCAAAGCAAAAGCGCCAATCACTAAAGCGCGCAGGCAGAAGCGCCAAACGAAAAGCGCCCAACGCCAAAAAGCGCCCAATGCCCAAAAAGCGCCCAATGCCCAAAAGCGCCCAATGCCAGAAAGCGCTCTATGGGGAAAACCAACGTATGGAGAGAGGAAACAATTACATAAAGTAGAGATAATATAGCTGTTTTAATAGGTTTTCTGGTGTTATTATGGTAGTTTAGCGGCAGTTCGACCTACTAGGCCATAAATTACCGACTGGGTCAAGTTATTTTGGCCTCCTAGGGCATTCTTTCACTCGAATAGCTAGTTCTCTTCTAAAGCAGCTTTTCCACTATTTCTGACGTAGTTTCTTGATCTCTACATGCTCGAACCGGTCCGAATATACATTTCTAATGTGAGAAAGGTATAAACTCGCCGTGGAAAGGTTGTTTAGTGCCATTTTCGGATCCATTACCCGGAAATACGGCGTTTTTCTCGTCGTTCTGGCCTCCAAACACTGTTTTATAACAAGTATTTCGTGCTTGCAACAGTATTGTGACTGAAAACATCAGAAATCGTGAGAACATGAGGCAAACCCGGTAAAACTAGAGACTGAAACACGGCAATTCAAGCCAAAAAGACCCAATAAGGCCAAAACAACCCGCTCGGGGTGATAATTTGCCGTCTACAAAGCCTACCTATCGCTAAACAACGTTTAAAAGGCATACAAAGCTTGAAAAAAGCCATTTTATGTAATTGTTTCCTCTCTCCATACGTTGGTTTTCCCCATAGAGCGCTTTCTGGCATTGGGCGCTTTTGGGCATTGGGCGCTTTTGGGCATTGGGCGCTTTTTGGCGTTGGGCGCTTTTCGTTTGGCGCTTCTGCCTGCGCGCTTTAGTGATTGGCGCTTTTGCTTTGGCGCTTCTGACATCCTCCCGCTACCTTGCTGCGGCTGGAAACACACTCCCTCTGCACGGTCGCTGGGCTCTTTCCTTCGGAGTGGTATACGCACTTTTCGCTTTTGTCTCGCCGAGCTTCTTCGTTGCGGGTTGTGAGCCTTCATTGATTTGGGTCTTCTGCGGGTTATCAGGGCTGTCGTGCAACTTCGCCTCAAAACACGATTGTGACGGGATCATTGATATTATATAAATAGGCTTTAAAAAATTACCGAAAATTCGACGAGGAAAGGGCCAACTCCTCTCTCGACCCCATGCGGATCCTCGTGCGAATAGACTGGATCGACCAGATCGGGCAGCGTGAATGGTATGTAGTAAGTGTCATCCTTAACAGAGACAGCAACTTTCCCAGGTATCGCGTCGGCTCGTCGGGGCACCAGTCGATACTTCACGATCCCATCGAATCGAACGTTGTGGCCGCTTCCTTCTAAACGTAGATTAAAATGTCACAGAAGCTCTCGTTTACCTATCTCTTTTGTTGCCAATATGCCGGATGGACCAGGAAGAGGCTCTTTTTCTATAGGAGTGGATCGGGCGGTTTTCTTTTTCTTCTTTCTTGGGTCCGCTAATTTCAACGGCTGGTTCGGGCGCCGCTGACGGCGTGGGTAGCGTCTGGCGCCCTCCTGCAATCTCTATGGGCAAGCAATAATGCAAAGTGTACCTGATCATTATGCGACTCCTCCAGCATCCACTTGCGGGCTAAACATGCATTCGTCGGTCGTCAAAGCCATAGAAAACGGTGGTAAAGTTTTTGCTCACAACAATATAATCTGGCGAAATCGGTAGTTAGGAAACATTTATTGCACAAGTAATGATTTCGAGATCACAGAAACGCCATTGAGATATCACAAAAGACGAGCATTGAAAAGCTATAAAATCCATGAAAAAATTATTCGGGTTCATCATTTTTGAGCGCGGTCCGGTCGGCGCCGTCTTGGTTGAGCTTCATATCTTGGTGGGGGGCCAGGCGAGCGGTCTCAAGCAGGGAAGTGATGAGAATCCAATGTGCCTGGACATCGAAAATCAGTTTGCATAAATCAAACCCACCGATTTGCGCAACGCCACCGCATGTCGGCGTATAAGGTGTGCAAGCCCTTTGGCAATTTGTTGGGAGTGAATGACGAAAATTTGCTCGGGCAGTTCCTAAGACGCGATTATGAATTTAAGAATTTACTCACCAAGAACCATTTCAAGGAGGAGAGCCGTTCTTCATTTTGAAGGGAGTCTTCGAACGCCTCGTCGATGATATTCAAAAGTACGACGATAGCCCTGCCCGTCAACTGGCTGCTTCTCGCCGGCAGCCGCTCGAAGATCCATTTCAGATGAGCGCGAATTTGTGGCCACAAGTCATCGAGTCGATACTGCACCAGGAATCCACGGTTAACTATACACTCGTACCTGGTTAGCCAATAACAACTTTCCGGAGAGTTCGAGGCAAAATGTCAACGAGTCCTCGGCTGTCGGATGGTCCGACAAGCGAGTTTCCTCAAGACCAGCAATGATCCCTTGGCTCACCTAGGATACAGACTAGAAGTAGAAATCAGATAAATTTACTTGTAAAATGGCCGACATGAAGCCCGTGATTGCAGAGTAGGGCAGGGCGCTGGAGAGTCCGATGACGTCTTGAAGCTTACATCGGTCGAGTGCTTTTTTAGCCGCCTAGAGTGCATTTTAAATGGTAAAAGCAAATAACCTTGTAGCGGTCCTCTTCCCAAAAGTGCCGCTGATGCTGCGTAGGTGTTTCCAAGTCGGCACCACTTCCAAACAGGAACCACGTGAGGAAGTTAGATTCACTTTTCGAGGCTTTCATCGCTCTAAACCCGTCGTGTACAGCAAGACGTGGATACATACCGAGGATATTCTCGATTGATGCTGACGGTTCCGGTCACCGCAACATAATCTACCACGACCGTGAATTCAGCCGGCAACATACGCGCTCGATATAGTTGAATCAGGCAGTCAACGACGTAGGTCCAGCCCTATATTCGTAAAATTCCACAAAAATATCTCGCACCTCGTGCAATGTTTGCCCGTAAGCCAGCATCAGTTCGAAGATCGTCTGGACAGCAGCTATCGCCTAAAATTCGGTGAGCCGAATTCGTATCAAAATACCTTCGAATCTTCGCCGAGGGCCAGGCCCAACTCATGGGGGCCATCGGTGGGACAACTTCTTTTGAGCCCTTCTTCATGAATTTCTAAAAAAACCCAGGATTGAGTCGTACGAAAGATATACCGTCCGTGTTCGGGATCAGCCCACTGGCCCTGCACAACATGATGACGACGCTGTCGAGGGCCTGAGGAATCCCTAGGAGATCAGCCACGCGAGCGCAACTATGGCATCCAAGAATCACCATCTATAAATGTGGAAAAGTTATTGGTGTCATTAAAACCTTTGTGATTTCCGGATCATCCCATTTGTCGTAAAAACAGGAGAGAGCCGAAACGACCGGTCCCCAGGCCACACGAAACAGTTCCTTGTCGTTCCAGCCTCAAACCAAACAATGGATCCTAAAAAAAAAGAAATACCAGCCGGCATCCGATGATAGCATCCCTCAGTTGTGCCAGACCTTTCTAAAAGCGTTCTCCAGATATACTCCTCCTTGACGAGTCCCGTTCGTTCGGATGGCATCACGATCTCCTCACGCCTGAAAGTGAGCTTTGAACGGGCTCTTGTCGTACTGTATCGAATAGAAGATCTCTTGTAGCATCTTCGGGTCAAAATTTCCGGCACCGTTAGTGCCTCTCAAGTTATTCACAAACGAATCGACCGTCATACGAGGCTGATTGAGGCCAACCTGAAAAAGTATAACGCCTCTTTAACAAATCAGAGAATACCTGCGGATTGTACTGGTCGGTATTGAGCATAATAACGGCATAGGAGAGCGTGAATGCGGCATCCGGGTCGGCAAACGGCGCATTGTTCGAGTGGTACCAGTGCTCTAAACGAATTTACCAAAATTGAAAAATTGACGAACCAGCGAAATGCGTCATCACTTTCGTAATTTCACCAGACTCCCCGGGCAGGCGGAAAGTTTCCAGGAATACGCGCAGGGCCTGGTCAAGGCGCGTATTGGTGAAGTCGAATGAGCATACGTAGGCTTTCAAAACCTATAAATGGAGCGTCAAAAAACGCAGAGAATTCCACCTCATTGTTCTTTCGGTCGCTAATGTAATCGGCTATTAATTTCTTGTCAAGAAGCGGATTCATCCTCAGCCATTCAGCCACTGCGCGCGGATCGCTGCCGATAAGACCCTTCTCACGCAGAAACGTAATGCCTGCAAAACATCAGCCATTTTGCCAGAGGAAATTATTACCTTTCTTTGGATTGGTATTGAATATGTTCGACGCCTCAGCAATAATATCCTTCTTCTTCTTGCGCGCATAGGCCTGAAAAGGAAAAGTTTGGTTCAACAATATAAATACTTTAGTTCGAGCCAAAGCCAATTCAGGGGATTCGACCTCCGCTGTGTGAAATCGTACGTCCCTCTCCAGCCATGCGATAATCGCTGAAGAAAAAAATTGGTTTTGCTATCCAGCCAACCTAGTAACGCCTCAAAACCTAGAAATGACATCGACTCCTTATCATGGAGCGGGAAGGCGTTCTCCGAGAAGCGCTTGACGACATCCTCGAAGAGATTGCTGAAAAAACTGAGGTAAGAACAAAAGAAACACAAATGTCTTCACCTGTGGTAAAGCTCGTTGTCGTAATTGAAATAAATCTCGTTCATTATTCCTGGGATTCGCCAGAGCCGCGCAAGCGCCGAAAGCGCAAATTCCTTCTTTTCGTACGAGTTGATATCCTGGATCAACATCATTAGCAAGAAATATCGAAAATACCGGTGGGCTAGCAAGAATCGTCTGCAACTTCTGGAAGTAGGCCTCCATCTGGAGCTTCAGTTGTTGCCGACTGCGGTCGAATAATTGAAATGCGACACGAGCCACGCGGGCGAGGACACGTAGGTCGGTCGAGTCGAGAAGCTAAGGAGATAAAAATACCCAAAACAATCGTTACCAGAATCAGAGAGCGGCTTAGGCGATTTGCGATTTCGACAAGCATCTGCGGGCACTCGCAAAAATCATCAAGGGTGTTCTCGAAGACGGCAATCCAAAATGAAATCAGCTTTAAAAAATTTTTTTTGAATACCAGCAGTTCCAACCCAAGCGTGATCACCCTTTCGTCGTTTCTCTCATCACGCGGGTTTATCAATCCAGAGATAAAGCTTAAAAAACTTAAATTTAAGCGAAAATACATTTACCAAAATGCTTCAACCGCACAAGGTTGACCGTATTTAGAAGGATCTTCAAATGTTGTAGACAGTTGGGTCTCATCAACATCGCAATCCCGAGCCTCATCGCTGTCCTCCCTCATGCTCTCGATGCTAAGGCTGGCCATCGCACGTCGGAGCTTTTGTTCGTCGCGATCATCATTTGTGGCCAATTCACGGAAGCGCTTGAAAATGCAGACGAACATGGATTCCAGAGTTTGTTTTGCTGCTTCCCTAAAAATGAACAATGTCGTTTTGAGAAATAATAATACCTCAGTATCAATGACTGGTCATCGGCAAAGCAAATTCTAAAGCAGCTTTGCAGTATGTCGCAGATCGCCGCGTCGGAAAGCAGAGGGCCCGATGAAGAAGTCAGAAGCTCCTGCAGCGCCTATCAGAATAAATAATCAATCAACATACATGAAAACTTACCGCCAATATATTGAACAATACACACTCGTCTCCGCTTCGGCTAGCACCGCCTGTGAAACGGGCGTGTGTAACCGCGCTGGCGATTGCTTCGACGGACCGTTGGGCATTTGCACTAAAGGACAACTGGATGGGGATAAGGAAGTATTACATGTAAGGATCACACAAGAAGCCCCTCTTGATCAAGGCTGTCACCGTGGCGAGCGCTCCATTTGTCAACTCTGCGGTCGTCGCGCCACAGAGGATCACGTCCAAGACTGCTTTCAGGTAGATCGGCACGCCTGCGCTTCTGTCTTCCTGAAAAAAAAACATTTAGGGAAAGTGATTCCGGAAAATACCCGGTGTATTCCCATCCTTGCCGAGGTGAGGCTGAGCAGCAGCGTCTCTCGTGCCTCTTCCTCGCCCTAGAACATATGAAAAATGATGAAGTTTGGCACCCGTAAACGCAGATCAATCTAATTTTTGCAAAAATTACCCTCGCCACGGCCCTGGGACCCCTGCAGGCGGCCACCAGGCCATCCAGCTCCCCGAGTACTATTGCCAGCTCTGCAACAAACAAAAGATATGGCGATAAATTGTGCTCTGACCTCGAGCTTCCGGCATTTGGCCAGAACAGCACCGACGGTCGACCGGTTGTCCCTAGATGTCAGTAATAGTAATGTGCAAAACCAAAACAAAAGGACAAAAACAACATTTTAATTGGGTAGCCGTCTGCGCCAAAAAAGGGATGACGTGGAAGGGACACGGTGGAAGCTGCCGCGCCCAAAACGTCAACCAGTACTTGCGCGGAAAGTGTAATTTGCAACGCTTTGTAGCTTAGGAGTCGTAATTGTAATAATTTTTCTATAGGTGATGTTCAATCGGGATCGTGGGAACTTGGTTTGTAGAACTGTATCGCCTGAAAAAAAACTAAGCAAAAATCAAACATTTATCGTGATGAAGTCGAAACTGCTTCATTACGCTTTAATTATCGAAAACTACACGTAAGCCTTTACAAAATATCTACATTACACGCCTGAAGGAAGATGCAACACCAAAGAATTAGAAAGAAAAACAAATTTAAGTACAAAGCTCATTTAAGGATATTTATTTCGTGGCGTTGGCGTAGCGCTCGGAGATGTTCTTCCAGTTGGCAATCTTCCAGATGGCCTTCACGTAGTCAGGGCGAACGTTCTTGTACTAAAACAAGGTCACAGGTAAACTAACAAGGGAACCTCAAGTTGGCACGGTGGAATTTCGAAAAACGCTCGCGGCTACCCCTAGGTTTTCGACTATGGCGATTCCAACGCTCTTGTCAGAATTTCCTAAATGGGCCTCTGGACAGAGATACAGCACTTCCGGAAAATGATAATTTACATCCGAAAAATTAGCATGATCGATAGGTTTATGAGGCTCTCCCATCACTATTGAATCACCAGTGGAGTGGCCGAGTGGTAAGCAGCTCACTTGATAGGATGTTGACCAGGGTTCGAACCCGCTCACGATTTTTTATTTTGCTTTTTGACCGGAACTTTCTGCCCAACTCCCAGTTTGGATTTTTACTATAAGAAAAAAATTTTGGTTATGGCCCAGGCTGATTACTCCAAAGAAGCCTCAAAATTCGCAAAAAATTATGCGAACAGCTGGGTGTTCCCAGCTCCGTTTTCGAATTGAATTTGTATGGTTCACTCGAATGAGATTTTTTAATTTTTTTGGCTTCGCTAACGCTTTTAGACGATTTAGAAACAAAAAGAATTTTCGAAAAAAGTGACCATAACTGGGAGTTGGGCAGAAAGTTCCGGTCAAAAAGCAAAATAAAAAATCGTGAGCGGGTTCGAACCCTGGTCAACATCCTATCAAGTGAGCTGCTTACCACTCGGCCACTCCACTGGTGATTCCATAGTGATGGGAGAGCCTCATAAACCTATCGCTAATGCTAATTTTTCGGATGTAAATTATCATTTTCCGGAAGTGCTGTATCTCTGTCCACAGGTCCATTAAGGAAATTCTGACCAGACCGTTGGAATCGCCATAGTCGAAAACCTAGGGGTAGCCGCGAGCGTTTTTCGAAATTCCACCGTGTCAACTTGAGGTTCCCTTGTAAGTAATCCACCTGCAGATAGTAGGCGTGCTCCCAGACGTCAATTCCGAAGAGCGGGATGAGGCCCGTGGTCGGTTCTAAAAAGAAAAATAGATAATCTATAGACTTTTTGGCTTGCTTCACGAGCGTCAACTAATCAACTTAAAACTAACCTAACGGATCCTGGTTGGCACATGTAGCGACCTTGACACGTTTGCTCTTCGGGCAATAGCCGAGCCAGCCCCAGCCAGATCCCTAGAAAAGGCCGGTTGTCATCGAGAAAGAAATAACGCTACCTGTACAGCAACCGTGGCACTCGAGAGGGCGTCTTGCATCTTCTGCAATGATCCGAAGTCGCGGTTGATGACCTCCAATAGCTCCTTGCTGGGCTCACCGCCATCCTAAAACGAAATTCATAAGATCGCAAAAAAAGTGCGCTTACCTTGGCCAGGTTGGTCCAGAAGATCGAATGGTTGATATGGCCACCGCCATTGAATTTCAGGCCGCTTTGGAGCGCAATGGCCTCTTTCACATTTCCTAAAACGGGTATGATCATATACCAATTTCGTACCAGCAGGGTTCGACAACATTCGATTGTTTCTAACCAATTTTCGGAAAACCAACCCTTTGCGAGAGCCTCGGCCGTCTTCTCCTCAGCCACGTTCAAATTGTTGACGTAGGTGGCGTGGTGCTTCTGGTGGTGCAGCTGCATGATCTCAGCGGTGATGACGGGCTCCAGGGCATTGTAGTCGTAGCCGAGGTCGGGCAGCGAGTGCTTGCCGCGTGCGCTAAAAATGCAGTGGTTGTATTTTCCGCAATGTCTGTTCGCACGTCTGTCAAATCGTTAGAAAAATCACCTCAAAGCGATGCGGGCACCAGCGCGAAGGGTTTGTTGTCCACGGAGCATCTGAACAAGAGAATTACTTGATGTCTGCGAAAACGAGAAGAGAAGAGAAAATCTAACACAGAGATCTCCTATCGATATGTCGACTAATTTTGAGAAAACAATCTGCTGGCACTTGCAAATGGTGATTATCGGTGCCCAAATTGTTTGCGAGGCCAGAAAGGCGGGTTGGAGTAAACAAGGCTCCCGCTGTCCGCACAAAGATCCAAAGCGCGTGTAGCTAGCTGTACTACCTAGCCGCAAAAAGAAAAATAACCCCTCTCGGGCAAGGCAAGGTTGTTCGAAAGTTACGAGATCAGAGCGAATGCCTGGTCGATATTTGTTGTAGTTGTTTACTTGCACGCATTTCCTCTAGCACTCCATTCTCGACTGATCTTTTATTGAAATTACGGTCCGGAAATGGCCAGAGAGCAACATGTGAAGATAACAAAAAAATCAAGCCTTGAGGACGCTGGTAAAACTGTCAACGGGCTTGGAGATCGGGGGGGGTCAAAAATCAACAATGAGCATGTCCTTTTGCTATTCCATGTTCTGTTCCAGGAATCTCGAAAAGACCGACTCCAACTTGTCAAGGTCCGAGAGGGTGGATGGGTCGGAGGCCTAAAGAAAATATTTTTTGAGAGTGAGAAGGTTCTACCTGGGTCAATGCATCGGCTCGCACATCAACATCCCACAATGGGTCGTCTCTGTCGAAAGCATAATCGTCTTGACCCTGCATTAGATCGGCTTTGTCGAGAGCAGCGACGAAGAGGTTTGACGCGTCTTTGACGTCGATTTGCTGAAACATCTATTACAAGAGACTTAACGATTAATTCACCTCGATTTGCTGACGACCAGCCGCATTGGCAAGAACTCGCGAGGGGACAAGAAGCTGGACGGCATACCTGAAGATAATTTGATCCGCTAAAAAGGGTGTTGACAAGGAAATGAAGGAAGTTTACAAAAAATATCATGCCTGAGAGAACGTTCATCGCCAAGACGAGTCAGCTCGTCCAACGCCGCGGCGTTTAGGTTGACGCCTTCCGCCTGCGCCCGCACGGCCAGGATCTAAAAAATAGCGCGTTCGCACCGGCCAAAACACAGCGTACCTCCTTGATATCGTCGCGCCCATAGAAATCTGTTGGAATCAGCATGACGCGGTCGAGAAGATCCTTTGGGATGCCCATCACACGATTCTCATCCCTAAACCGCCTTTACAATAAAAACGTTCACGCACTCATCAGAAACACGATTTGTTGCCAACACAACGATTGGAGCCACATCACCCTCAAGGGCTCTAAAACCAGTATAGCAGGTCGAAAAATTACAAATACCGGTTCAGGTAAGCGAAGCATTCCTGATCCAGCACATGTACCTCGTCGATGAAGAGAACACCAGGCACCAACTCGGCGATACCCTAAAGGAGTGTTGTCTATTTCAGAATTCTGGCTATACCCGATCAATGAAATCGTTCACGATCCCGTTGATCTCCCCACGTAGACGGTCTAAAATTAATAGACGAAAATTTTTGCAGATGGAAAAGCAGGCGAGTCGTCAGATCGAGCTTACCGGTGATTTCCGTCTTTTTTGGCTTCAGCAGCCGGGCCACCAGGGTTGTAGCATCGGAACGTTTGCTTCCCGGGCGTGCATTGGCCACGTCCAAGTCGTGCAGGGTCACATCTTGCACCACCTAAAAGTTGAAATTAGCCCTGGTCAGCAAAATTCTAAACCTCTCTGAATTTATGGACGTCACCCTTGGTCAGTGGGACGAATTCATCCGCCTCGAGGTCATAGTCTGTGGCATACGCATCGCATCGACCAACACGCTGAAAATTAATAGTACACAGAATAGTCTTGAAATCGATTACCATTCCTAAACCATTCTGGCATTAAACAAATTCTATTGATACCTTAACATCTCCGGAATTCGACTCGATGTATATGACATCACCACGAGCAACCTTTTGCTGGAGCAATTGCTCATAGCAGCTGGCGTCCACTTTCAACGTTTTTTGGCCCTACAAAAGCAGTTATGCAAGCTACAACAGCGTACCTTCAAAGTCTTCAGCGTGATCAGGACTTGATCAATCTGCTTCCCAAATCCAGTCGGGCTTGGGCTTTCGACCTAAACAAAAAGGATGAGAAACCAAAGAACTATTCACGGTTTCTATATTCGTGACTTCCCCTTCGTAGACCTCTTTCCTCTCGGAAATGCGGACCCCTGTAAAGAAGTGAATCTTTGTATGTATGAATTACCAATTGCTCGACGGAAATTTTCGGCAAGGATTTCGGTACGCTTGACCTCCTCCGAGAAAACCTCGGATGCAATCATCGGCACAAATGGGACCTGAAAATTGGGTAACTTCGCAAAACAGGGGCTTTACCTTGTTTCCCAGTTCCCTGGATAGCGCGAGGGCAATCGCCGTCTTTCCCGAGCCGGGAGGACCAGCAAGCAACACGCATCGGCCTGAAAATGGTGAAGACGTTCAACTCATCCAGAGTTCAATTACCCGAAAATTTCTTCTGCTTGATGAGCTCGACCACGATACCAGCCGCCTTCCTCGCCTCGGTCTGGCCTACGAATCCTGCCGCCTAAAAAGCTATGCATTTATCTTTACAAATACGACCTTATGTTGAGCCTGTCCCTTCTCATCCAGTCCAAGGCCGCCGCGAAGATGTGAGTGAAGGGCAATACGTTCTTGAACCTTTGTTCGGGCTACCTAAAATCACTTTATTGAGAGGAAAGGTGAAAATATCTTACATCGTCTACTTGAATGATTTGGGTGCCCGATTTCTTCATTTCGGTTTCTTCTGCATCCATTTCCATGCTCTCGGGCTGTTTCTCGGCTTCCATATTGCCTAAATATCGTTATTGATAGGGTTGGAGTTCGAAAAGAGATCAAGGAAATCACAGAAATTATTTCACGAATGAAAGTGAACGTAAAAATGAAAAGAATTGAATTCGCGATTTCACCCAGAATTTTTAGGCGAGGTAATTCGAGCATAGTATTGCGGCGTAGGCTTCGTAGCGCCAGCCGGCTGGTCGACCCTGTCTGCAACTTCGCCCTGACTCATACAATACACTAAAATTGGAAAAAAATCGTTGCTAGATGAACTTTAATTTTTAATTTTTTTCTTGTATATTATAGACATTGATAGTGGCTGTTTTCAGAATGCTTCTCTAGAATGTCTGCGACCAAACGATGCTTTTCCAACCCGGACACACTCTATGTTCAAGGCTCCCGGTCGGTGCTCAAAATCTGCAAGAAGACGCGTCAACTTTCTGTGATAGACAGCCAAACCCAAGGTAATCTTTTCTGTAACGTCTCTATCTTGTACGTTAGACTACATTGACTGCCAAACCGACCCCCACTCTTACGCCGGTGATATCTCGTTGATCCTCGGGCTGATAGAAGCCGAAGGAAGCTCTTACTTGATATACGTCAAGCAAGCCAGCCAAGTTGCCAAATTTTATGAAAAAGAGGTACATATTACCATTGACACGATCATTTCTGAATTCTAGGAAACAGCCCCGATTTATCGGATAGACCGGATAGACGCGCTTCCGATACTTGATGACGGGCTAGCGATAAAATTAGATTCGTTTGTGCCTTTGCCAGCGAAAGGCGGTTCATTGGCAGGAAAGGCTGCTCTACAAGTGAGTGCTTATATAATCCCAGAAAACCTTCTGTTTCAGGCCAAAAATAACATTCGACTGGGGCAAAAGCAACTTTTGAAATTTGTTCGGGATAAAATTCCAGGTAAGGTCCTTTTTGAAAACCACTGATAGCCCTCTTCAAGGTTCCATTCCGCATTTTATTGACGAAATCTTGCGCCTATTCAATGACGTGCCGGACTTTTATTTCTGCTATGAACGTGATATCACGCATACCACACAACGGTATACGAGTTTTTCACAGTTTTCACAACAATTTAGACATTTCGAAAAAACCAAGACACCCGATGAACGCTTTTTCTGGAACAGTCATCTTTTAAAGGATATTTTGAGCTCTCCTGGGGAGGCGGCAAAAGACTGGTGATTTTCAACTAGGCAAAGCTACTAAAAAGGGGATTTCAGGATAGTCCCCGTGATGCAGGGCCATGTACAAAGCAAAGAAATCAAAATTGACGACGTCGAGGCATCGATACCGTACCTTAGCCTGACATTAATTTCTCGGCGATCCATTCACCGCGCCGGTGCCCGATATCTACGACGGTGCGGAAATAAGCCTGATTTAACTTCTTGATTCTTTAGTGGTATCGATCAAGATGGGAATGTTGCGAATTTCGTAGAATCGGAGTTGGTGCTCTACATGTTTGGGCATCATGTCTCTTTCGTGCAGGTGGGAATAACCTAGAAATTGTTAAGATAATTCCTGTAGATACGTGGCAGCATTCCAATGTTTTGGTCGCAAAAGGGTTATCACTACCGGCCACCGCTAGTTATTGGTATGTTTTTCAACCTTTTTATAACTTTTATGATTAATAGCAAAATTTATCTGTCTTTAGGTAAACCCGTCGAAGAATCCATGCCTTTCTACGAAAAACATATGGAGAACCTCCAGGCACATTACGGCAAACCGATAGTGATGGTGAATCTGGTGAACCAGACTGGACGCGAGCTGGAGCTCGCAAGGTGTTATCTGGAGGTATGAGGCAATCGCTTTTACGGCAACTCTTCAGCACGTCTTGCGCCAAAATTCGGAGGACACCGAGTTTTTCTCTTTTGACTTCCATCACCATTGTAGAGGATTGAACTTTGAAAAGGTATTGCTTGTTTTTGTGACAAAAGGTTTGGATCAGGTCGCACTACTGCTCAGCTCGCTCGAGGATTCGCTGGGAAAACTGGGATTTTGTTGGGTGGATAAGACTGGCGAGGTGGTGCGTCGTCAGAATGGGACCGTTCGCACAAATTGCATCGATTGTCTGGATCGAACGAACGTGGTTCAGGTGAGGTGTTTTAAACGACTTATTTTCATTTTGTCGACATTTCGATTATTCATCTCAAAATTCCGACAAGGTGATTTTGGACAAAATAATAACAAGTCGTTTGAAACTTACTATTTTGGGTGATTTTCAAGCAACAACAACATTTTTAGTGCACGATCTCGCAGTACGTGTGTTTTGGCCAGGCAAGACGTCTTGGGCTTTTCGGCGTGGCGAACGAACCGCCAGAAGAGTTGATTCCGGCGCTCCAGCTCTTGTGGGCCGACAATGGAGACAGCATCAGTACCCAGGTATCATTTGTGTTGCAGTAAACTAGCCATCCCTTTTTAGTACGCAGGGACTGCAGCTCTGAAGGGCGACATGACGCGATTTGGAGAGCGCAAATTGACCGGGATGATGAAGGATGGGTACAACAGTGCGTCCAGGTATTTCAACGTAGCCAGTTTCATTTGTTTTTGTTAGATACTACCTCTCACACATGCGCGACGCGAGGCGGCAGGCTGCTATGAATTCGCTGTTAGGCAATAAAGAAGACGAAGGTTGATGCTCGTACCTTTTTTAACCGCTTTATTTCCAGTCTCGCAGGTCGAGGACTCGGAATCGGACCCGAAGAGGCGGCAAATGTCGGGCGGCTCGTGACGGAAACGGCAAACTATTTGCTGCCCGAAAATGAGGTTTCCGGAATTCCCCGAATTTAATAGTTGTTAGGTGCTCGTGGGCGGATGGGCGCTTGTTGACTACCAGAGCGGCGACGACCAATGCGACACGATATTGATGCTGACGCGGTACTATTTTTGTGGTTTATGAGGTTATTTTTTGTCCTTTAGTGCGTCACTATATGTTGCCACCTATGATGAGGACAGCGAGAAAGTGCTGGACTTGAAAATCTTGCCGCTGGATGACATTTCGAGGGTTGAGGTGTGTATATTTGCTTGCGGACTTTTTTGTTTTGACTAAATTATGGTTGTTTCACCTTATCGGTAGGCGGAAACCGTTTTTAATAGGCCCATCTACGTTTAACATCATATGAGTATCTTAACCTTGTTTTAAAAATTTAACTTCTATTTAGTGTGGAAAAATTGGATAAAATAGGGTTTTACATTTTTAGGAAAACTTTGTGGACGTGTTATGCTTAGCTTTTCCTGCCCCGATAATCCAAAAGCACCTCGGTTATGCTTCACAGCCACTTTCTTTGACCTTCAGGTCCCCGATCCCCCCATAATCCCTATTTTCAGCTCGGCTGTGCTGGACGGTCTCCAAGGACTCACATTCGCATTGTTTCAGTGGAAGGTGCTTGGATATTCAGGGCGGGCCGCACGCGCCTTTTCAATAATGTCCCCATCCGCATCAAGGTACATCAAAGGCAAAAAAAACTTTTAATCGTCTGTCTTTAGAGTCCAGAGGAAGCAGATGAATATATCGAATCCGTGGCCGAGCAGATTAGGGTGAGTATTTTCTTCGTATAACTCTTTCTCATAAAAACCGACTTGAGATCAGTTGACTTCAATACAATTTAGATTACGATCGAAAACGCCCTCGACATGACGATTGAAGTCGTCCATGTTGATCGCATCCCAACGGGACAGGATGGAGCTAAAAAGTATGTATTTTTTCCCCGTTTTAATTATACACCCTAGGAAATTCGCAACGATGCTGGGCATGTTTGCACGTCGACAGCAGTCCACGGCCGCCAACGAAACAGTGGGGGATGGAGTTCCGTTATTTTATCAAACATTTCAGCGCGAAGTGTCCGGTCCACCACGAAGCCGTGGACTCATTTCGAAAATAAAGGTATACAAGCCCTTAGCACCCAGTGTATGTTTCAGGGTCTTCAATCCACCACAAATAGAGAAGCGCAGTCCCCGTTTGCCGAACTCCAGGAACGGATTGACGCATGCCGATCAAAAATTGTCTTATTATAACTTTGTTGGCCTTTTTGTGCTTTGAGCTTGAAACGCATAATTCGCAGAAGACGGGTCTGTAATATGATGCCCTTGTGATGAGCCCCTTGCTTTTACCATCGAATAAAGGATAACCTTTTATACGATCAGTCGGCAAGCCGCCTGAATGGCAAGGAGGGTAGTAGTAGAAGAGGTGGTCGTATCACAAATACGTATTATGATTTGCAATTTGTAGATAGGGATGAGTGGTTGGTGTCGGCGCAAATGGTCGACCCGGGGACGAGAGTTCAAATTTCTGTATGTAAACAAAGATGGCGCTGGTGACTAGAGGATAAACACAGCTATGAGGGTACCCGCATCGAATCACATTGAAGTAGGAGCAGTCGAGAAAATGCAGGAAAATGAAAAACAACCTAGTGATCTATCTTACAAGGGAAGTGCAACCGCCCACGAAAATCACGAACATAGTCATCTGATAGAATGACGGGGATTCCGAATCTGTAATCAGAATTTCTAAATAAAACGGAAAAGTTATGAAGCTCCAAAGTTGGCAAAATCGCCCAAAATCGACTTTTATGGGCCTGTAAATTCCCAGTGAATGGAAATTGCCACACCCGATTAGTGCATCTTCAGCAGAAAAGCGCTTTCGAATGAGCTATCTTATTTAAGTTTACGATGATTTCGCGAAAATCTCTTCTATGAACTTGACAGGCCATACCCTTCCAATGAATCCAAAAAACTTTTTTCAGTGAATTGTTTGCAAATGGTACGTATTACAGCTCATTCGAAGCTCTTTTCTGCTGAACAAGATGTACTAATTCTTTTCTCCTCAATTCCGTTCCCCCGGTTTTTACGGGTCCTTAAAGGTACGGTTTTTGGCGATTTGGCCAACTTTGAAGCTTCATAACTTTTTTCTCCGTTTTATTTAGCAAATTCTGATTGCAGATTCGGAATCCCCGTGTCCGATTCTATCAGATCGACTATGTCCGTGTCGATTTCTCGTGGGCGTGCCTTTTGTTGGGAAAGTATACACAGGCAAGAGCTAGTGATTTTTAGCAACCAGGGAAGCCGGCCTTGGCAAGCTCGGCGCGGCTCTCCTTCTCATACATTTCCACCTCGATGTGCGTGTAAAGATATTTCGATCGACCTGGAAGTGATATTATTCAATAGCTTATTCATCCATATTCTTATCAAAACAGTATAAAGAGGCGGCCGTAAATACGTACCCGTATCGTTTTGTAGCGTGGTTTTTTTTTGATGACCCACCCTGTATTGTATGTTGGCGCGTCTGCTTGTGGAACTTGACTCGTACCCACTTTCTATTCCGGTCCGCACCCCTTGCTTCTTATAGTTATTTGGGCGCTATTGCAACAATGAACATTTCAAAGATTTCGGAGCATTCGGGGTACACATCTGCAAGATAACAGGATCACCTCAGGATATGTTCCATCCCGTAATTGATCATCTCAATGGTGCCCAAAAAATGCCGGCAGTGCGAATTGTCCCTTGAACGCGCAATGTTCTGTCGGCCGCTTATATAATTGCTTCAAAAATCCTAAGTCCCTTTTTAGCTGCGCAACTCTACTGTAGAGACAACTCGTGATGCCCTTTCCGTTCCAACAGCTGCAGCTGCGCCTAAAAGATTCCGTCTATGGCTATCTAGGTTTTTGGGAAAAGCACAAACTACGACAAGCGGCTAGGGTTTGTCTTCAAACATTGCTGGAAATTCGATATCTTCAATTTCCTTGCAACTCCAGGCATTCAGATGCCGCAGCGGCTCGGCGGCCTCCGGAAAAGCTGGCCATTTCAAATCCACGTGTCCGACATCATCGTTTGTGTCAGTAAGGAGGTATTTTTGCTCTAAAGTGTTGATCAACGTTAATCTAGGGTGCCCTCAATTTGTTCTTACGGACACCTTGTGGCGAACTGACAATACACTGGATGACACCAGCCGCGGTTCCCGAGATCTGGATGACGTTGCGCTTGGAGTATGAGACCGGTAATTGGCTTGGACGCGGAAATCCGTATGATTATCGGCGGTATGTGACAATTCCCAATCGTCAACGATTTCAGGAATAAGAATTGTAGGCGCGCGGGGGTTGACCGGCGTCACGTGGACGCGCAGAGAGTATTATCTTGCATCAATCGTTTGTTGTGTGGCATTCGTTCACCTTCGATCGCGATTTATGCCAAGCCCGATAACGTCGAGTCGGTAAGTGGTGCAGAGCTACGTTAAAATACAGTGTGGTTGTTTCCGCTATCCCGAAATGCGGTATCCCGAAAACTTTATATGCGAACCTGTTAGTTAAAACCGACGGCTTTTCGGGAGGTATTTCCGATTTTTTCGCGTCGGTTTCCGGAGGCTCCATATCGAGAATTACCGTAACCCAGACCTTGACAACGGGCCGGGCTTCAAGGCCGGGCCTGGGCCTGGACTTGGAGGTCCGGGCCGGGCCGGGCCCGCAAGGCCCGGACCAGTCCTGGACGATGATTTTCGGAGAAAATTTTTCGAATTTTGAACCAAAAAACGATTTTTTTCGACTTCGTTCACATTTTGTCAAATTTTTTTCGTTAATTTGTGCTTTCGTTCGAAAAAGTCAATAAGTGACGGTATCCGGGTATTTGACAGCCCTGGTTTGTAGTTTTTTTAGAAGCTCTAGGAGGTTTATAAGCCGGAATTAATTTGCTTTTGGCCTGAATGGACTAGCAGGCCCTTTTAGGATGGTTTACAACCTGATCTAGGGTATTTCAGAATCAGCTTTATAGATCTTAGCCGAAAAACGGCAGAACACATACAAAAATTTCGGTAGTTGACCTTACTACTGGCCGGCACCAATAGATTTGTAAATAGTTTTCAGAAAGTTTGTAACGTTTTTATATGCAGAATTAGTTAAAAACTGTTTCAAAAGTATTGCCTCTGTTTATATCCGAAAACCCCCTCACAGGCCAAAAAAATTTGATCCGTCCGCCCTGGCCTTATTTAGTACCGGGCCGGGCTCGGGCCTGAAATTCCGGATTTGGCCGGGCCGGGCCGTTGTCAAGGCCTGCCGTAACCGGAAGTTCCATTTTTCTTTCCGGATATTCCGACAATGTGGCCGCTTTTCCGGAGTTAAGGATCTACGCCTCCGAAAGTTCCGTCCCACTCCGTGTAGATGCTGCCCCTGAACATTCGTAGATGCCATTTTTTAGTTGCGAAAGGCAAAAACTATGCGCAGCACCGCTTTAATTGTTAGGGATAGGGTTTTCGGATGGTAGGCTTTCGGGAACGAGAGTTTCGCGTTAGAGGGTTTTCAGGATACAGAATTTCGGGTAGAAAATGCAATTCCGTAGAAGAGTCGCTAAGAAAGGGTTAGCGCTCCAAATAAGACTTTTTGCAGGATTTACCCTTTCCCGTTGAGCAGCTGTCGCTCTTCAAAAATCCTTACTCCATTCTGGTCGACATGTGTCCCGTTTTCGCACAACTTCAGCTAGCCTGGTTGAAGCGACGTGGCTTTTCATCGCAGGCATTGGTATGTCCACTAAACAAAACGGACAAAAACAAAACAAGGAGAAGGAAAATAGTATGCTTCGTCGTGGGGGGGGTTAGATCCAATCTAGGGGGGTACTAGATAATCTATGGGGGCTTTAGACCATCTAGGGGCCCCCTTAGATGACTATTTTTTAACCCTTTTTTATGTCGAATCGACTAGTTGAACTCAAAATATCAAGTAGGAGAGTAGTGGGGCCTTTTTGATACATCATTAGGAGCGTAATGGCCTGGAGATGACTGCACGCATATGAGATTTTTGAAAATCCGCTGTTTTCGATATTAAAATTAAGTTTTTGTGAAAATCTCGCTCGGTCTCTTTGTTAGGAATCAATTTGCATACACCGGAAGTGGGGGAAGCCTATATAATGGGGAGAGGACGCGCTTTTCATTTTTCTGCACAGGAATTCGGGTGTTTATGCAAAGTGACGAAGTATGGGGGTAAGACGGGGGCCAGGGTTGAAAAGTCGCGAAGCGGCTTTTCAACCCTGGTTAAATTTTAATTTTTGTTGAAAAATCCGGGACCCTCTTTGTTAGGAATCAATTAGCATACACCAGAAGTGCCGGTAGCTTATTTAAAGAGATAGGGGCGGCATAAGTCAATCGATTACGCGAGGGAAAGAAAATGTCTCTGCGCCTCTCCCCTGGGAGCCCTCTCTCGCGCGAGATCGCCGCGGGACCTGTTGAACCCCCCCTCCCCAAGGGGGGTTCAACAGATGCCGTCCTCATCTCTTTAATAAGAGAGAAAAGTAATTTATGAGAAGTAAAAAGATGAAAGGAAACTCCACACTGCGAACAGTGGGAGTTATAACAAGCCTTGAGCCTTTAAAGCCTTTAAAGCCTTTAAAGGAGCAGAGAGCGCACACGGGAGAGCCAAGTCGCGATTATCGCGCGCGAGTCGCGCACGAGACGCGCGCGAGACGGTACCGACTCGCGACAGTCGCGCGCATCATTGCCGCGACACAGCCTCGTGCGCGACTCGCGACCATGTCGCGCGCGTCCGGTGGCCTGTCGCGGTCATGTCGCGATCTGTCGCGCGCGTCTCGCGCGCGTCTCGGTACCGTCTCGTGCACGAGACGTGCGCGAAAATGGTCCCGACTAGCGCGCGACATTGGCGCGATTTGTTTCTCCCGTGCATGTATCACTTTTTCTCAGCGTGAGTCGGGTGGAATTATGCAAAGTGTAAACTTTCATTGGTCCAGAACGGGGCCAGAGTTGAAAAGTCGCGAAGCGGCTTTTCAACCCTGAGCTGGTACCAAATCGAAAAAATACCCCTATACGGGTGAAATATAGCCCCTATGAAAAAAAATATACCCCCTATAGTTTTTTTATAGCCCCCTATACGGGGAAAAGCGGAACTTCAGAAAACCCACTGGAACTCTTCGGTTTAGCGATCAAAAGGCTCATGTTTCGGTTTTTAATAGAGAAAGAGACGCTCTATCGGGTGAAGTACGCGAAATCGTACAGAAATTCGAAATTAATTATAAATTAAGCCAACAAAGTTACCTTCACCCCCATAAGAACGTATAGCCCCCCTATATAAACGTATAGGGGGGGGGGTATATAAACGCATGAAGGGGCTATAGTTGCCCCTATGCGTCAAAAAAAACATAGGGGTCCGCTAAAAGGGTTTCTTAACTAAATATTAAAAATTTACTCAGGCTATGCCGGAATGTTTAGAAAGTCAAATCTACGTAGAAAAATACGGAGAACACGATAGCGATGGCGATAGCGTCAGAAGCCTAACTTCAACCACTTTCTTTATAATGGCGCATTTAATTTTTATACCCCCCATAAACGATTTATGTGAAAAATTTTCATATTCTTGATCTATAGGGGTATAGGGGTATTTTTGGTCACTTCCATTATTTTTCCCCGAGATTTTTTCGAATTCGATGCACCTCGGAAAAGTGTTTAAAGGGTTTTTAGCACCCAATCATGGGATTTGGACATTGAACCTCGGAATCATTTCGCGACTATCACCGTAGCTTAGCAAAGGACAAATTATGATAAAAATGTAATGCTATTTCATCATTTTCCCTAACATTTTTTTTCGAACTTTTGCATCTCTAAAAGGGCTTTTCTGTGTTTTTAGCGTACTACCCCACCTGATTGCTTAATTCTAAACCCAATTTGGCTCACTTCATTGGCCAATCGGTTATGCCGACCTAGATAAAAGACCTAAAATACCTACAGTATACCTAATTAGCTCTTTGAATAGAAGGTTGGACAACGGACAGTATAGCCTCCTATAGGCTCCTATAGCCTGTCACATACCTATGTATCGGGGTCATATTTCACCATTCGGTCTCAAACTTGATCGGCCCCGTGCTAAGAGCACCAAAAAGTTCGCAATTGCTAAAATATGCAAGCCCCAGCTAAGGAAATCATAATTCAAGGGCAGAAACACTCTCAAAACGGCGTTTTCGTATTAAATATGGGGCTATGAAAAAATTTCATAGCCCTATGAATTTTTTATGACCCCATATGTTTTTTCATAGGGGCTATGAAGCATCTGTAGCCCCCCTATAAATAGGGGTTATTTTTTTCGATTTGGTACCAGCCCTGGTATTTACCTATTTTTGTAGGGGGCCGTACCGTCTATGCACTGCGACCGAGCCCGACATTATCCCCTAAGAGAGCTTCCATTGCTCGCCGATATGGTAATTTACCTTGCCGCGGTTTTACTGTACCTTCGCATTGACTTACCGATTTCAACCGGAAGTATGTAGATGAATTCGGCTCCGCTGATGCTCTTCAACAATTGGAGCGATCCCGGCAGACGGACATTACGGCGGCTGTTCATCATCCTCAAAAAGTTGATGCAATGGGCCATGCAGGTGAAGTAATTTTTGTATCGACCAAAACTGGGCAATATCCGATTTCAGAATCCGCCCGAAGAGCACCGTCCTCGCAGAATCATCGTGAGGACCGGCATGGCGTTGCGCAAAAATGCGCAAAGTCATTTGGTTAAACGGGTCAGTTTCCATGAGAGAACGGTCGTCCAAAAAATCCAAAATGTGGAAATGTGTTCATTTTACACACTTTTAGATAGAAAACGCTCGTCATCTATTTTTGTAACTTTCTAGCAATCAAAAACTACGAAAAACATTATAGAAAGACGCTATTTATTATTAACGGGTAGGTATCGGTGGAAAAAAACAAAGTTAGATCCCCCTGCTAAGCCCCGCCCCCCTGTTAACAGCACAGTACCATGCTTTTCGAGAAACATTGCCAATTCGGCCGTCCAAATTGATTTCAGGATATCGATGAACTGCGGTCATTCCTCGTCCGTCACATACCGAACGCACTGCCAAGCCTGACCTGGCGACTATCGATTGTGCGCCGTTATAGAACTAAAGTGTACATCAACTGCGAAATTCGCCAAAATTACGAGCGCCCCAATTCGATGCCGTCATTCCGCACCTTTCCCACTGGATTTGACTTGTCTTGGGTTGGATTGATCGGATATTGATCGGCCCATCGCATACTTCCTTGTTCGCACCACTTAGCGCTAAAGGAAAATGGAAACAGTTCTATTCAACTCGCTTCCTATTTTGGCCCCGTTCTCCTACTTCTTTTTGTTATTGCAAAAATAAACCTTTCAAGGGATTTTCGGAGCAATCGCGATTTAGCAACAAACATTTATCGAAAAACTGAGTCATGGGAACGACAACGAGCGGTACTTGTGTATTCCCGAGGGGGGGGAACCAACTTTTTTCTGTCGAGCCTGGTGGGGATAGTAATCAAATATAAAGTGTTTTCACATTGTCTTTAGCAAAATAGGAAAAACTTTTTAAAAGTTAGAAAAACGTTTGAAAAAGTGCCTTTTTGTGCTTTGAGCTTGAAACGCATAATTCGCCGAAGACGGGTCTGTAATCTGATGCCCTTTGTGATATCCCTTGCGATAACCATCGAATAAGGTATAAACCCTTTATACGATCACGCGGCCGCCTGAATGGCAAGGAGGGTAGTAGTAGAAGAGGTGGTCGTATCACAAATACGTATTATGATTTGCAATTTGTAGATAGGGATGAGTGGTTGGTGTCGGCGCAAATGGTCGACCCGGGGACGAGAGTTCAAATTTCTGTATGTAAACAAAGATGGCGCTGGTGACTAGAGGATAAACACAGCTATGAGGGTACCCGCATCGAATCACATTGAAGTAGGAGCAGTCGAGAAAATGCAGGAAAATGAGAAACAACCTAGTGATCTATCTTAGGGAAAGTATACACAGGCAAGAGCTAGTGATTTTTAGCAACCAGGGAAGCCGGCCTTGGCAAGCTCGGCGCGGCTCTCCTTCTCATACATGTCCACCTCGATGTGGGTGTAAAGCGGATTTCTATCGACCTGAAAGTGATATTATTCTAGAGCTTGATCCATCAATATTCTGATAAAAATAGTATAAAAAAGGCGGCCGTAAATACATACCCGTATCGTTTTGTAGCGTAAATTTGCTAGGCCGTCCTTCTTGTACCTCCTCCGCGTCTTCCCCATTAATTTATGACGGCACCTAAAATGATTTTTACAACGAAAAGAAGTCAGAACTAACGGGTTGACAGGGTTTGATTTTTTCTCTTCGCTGTGCTTGATCATTTTGTATCGTGCAATTGCCTTTGGATATCGCGAAATTTTGTAGCCAGCATAGACAACCCTGAATGGATCAAATAAAGGGGACCTAAAAAGTCAAACCTGCTGCTCATATCATCATCCTCTCCGCCCCAGCCCCAGTAATCGTTCGAGAAGCCGTTCATCTTTTCCATGTGCTCCTTTGTCATCGCCGAGATCCCACCGAAGATTGATCGGTACGGGAGGCTAAAAATAAGCATTTTGGAAGGAGAAAAACAAATACATGTATTTGAACTTGTCAATGGCGACGCTCATATGTCGGGGCTGCTGGGGGCAAGAGTAGAGGTTCCGGTCATCCTCTGGTATCAGGTCGACATCGTGGAAGATGAAGCAATTCCACGGGTACAACTAAACAAATGGGATCGATTCATCCACAAAAAACCTTTAGCGCCTCTTTGTAGCCAATATTCATCAATTTCGCCCGGTTAAACGTGTTATTGTGAATGGGTTCAACGGTGAACACGGCGAAATCGATCTGCTGCTTCTGAAGCAGCCCGATGAGGTTGTGCAGCAAGATTCTAAACGGATTCGTTTGTGCTCCACACTGGATTACCTCAAATGCGGCAATCGGTCTCGAAATGGGACGATTACCGCAACCCGATGGCGGGAGAGGCAATTTGTGGGAGTGGAGTGACCGCCCACTTCCAGAGTCGGGAAAGCCTTTTCCAGGTCCTCCATCTTTGCCTCTTCCATAAAAACACGTATAGGGCCGACAAGGTCTAAAAAAATAAGCATACTCAACCGCGGTTTTTTACAAGACGAACTTGGTGGATGAACGGGGCATTGCGTAAGGGTGGAGGGTTGCATGTGGAACACGGAATCATCAGTCGAATTCACGGCGAAAGTTGAATTTTCCTCTAAAGAAGCATGGTTATACCAGGTTGCAACGCTTCTATGTTCCTTAGGGTAGGCCATCGTCAGAAAAAATAAACTCGCCAAGTAATCTGGTGGCAGGATCGCGCAAGGTAGGCTCGAAAACAGCCAGCTCCAATTCACGTTGGGTAACTTCTCCGGGCTCCTCGTAACTAAACTTCCAGTTTGAATCGCATTTCATTCCAGGAGCCAATCGACCAGCTACTGAAGCTCCAACCGGTACTGCCCAACAAATAAAAACTCGCTTACTCGGTGACAACAGAAAACAGGCCCCCATCCGAGCAGTACGAGATGATCCAATGAATGGTGGCTAGCCCGCAGAGCAGCGCAAGCAGCGCCCGGGTGCGAAAGTTCATCGCATGCCAGCTGGAATCACAGTTATTCGACATTTGGCTAGGCGAAATCGGAGCAGTTCAGAATGAGCATCGAAAATTTTGAAGCGGTTAACCCGATAACGAACAGGGTCGTAAACGGATCCCGGTCATCGTAAATAAACCTATAAAGACCCCGAATTTCATGTGTTCAAAACCAGAGGCTGTCCGAATCGCGCAAGCTAGGCAACAACGGCAAAGCGAAAATTAGTTGCGACTTTAGTCAAGGCGGGGGTGGTATTGATAAAGCGCCCGCCGCCCGTGAGTCATACGAATGCTTTCCGTCTGTCGCGCTCAAGGACCTGCAAAATGAAGTCAAGACAGTGCTTTCACTTTCTTATGTAGCCACTCTAAACTCACTGTGGAGAGGTCTAAATAATAATCGATTATAAGTACAGTAATCTCTAAACTAACGATAACCAGTGATTTACAAAATGAAGAACAAACGTTAACCGATCTAACGTTAATTTAGGGGTCCACGCAGCTTAGCCACTAGCAAAAAACGCGTTTTCAGTGATCAATGAGGCCTGTTCAGGCACAACAAGGTCCGGCTAAGCAGTTCTATAAAGCAGGAATTTGACACCAGGGGCACTACAATTATCCGCTATCAAAAAAGCGGAATTTTGCAGGGTCGTTATTATAAAATCAAGTTTGGAAGAGTAGAACAACAACAGGCACAAGATGGCAAAATTTGACGCCTTGTGATGGTTGCCGGGGAACCTAATGAATGATGCTTCATCCTTGCTGCGCTCCAATCCTAATGACGAAGACACCCTGTGCGAGAGGCGCAGCCAGGGCGCGCTGCTTCGCGATTTTACCTACAAATCTTTGATTTTGGTCGATTCTGACCTCTTATACTTGTCTTTCTGCTTACCTTTCTATAAAATTAATTCCAGTATCATGGATTGGAAGGCGCAAGCTCGTCGCACATTCATCATCACCGGCCTTCGCTTCAAAACCGAACGAATAGACGGGCCACTCCGAGCGCATATCGAAAGATTTGGAGACGTTGTGCTGGAATATATCCGGCCACCGGATTTTACCAACGTCCCGTCGACGAGCCGAGGGTATTTCACGGAAATTGAGGAGCCGTTCGATCCGGAAGCCGAAACATATTTTCAAACCGGCTATGCTGTGGCCGTGTTCGCCTCCGAAGAGGCCGCCAATCTATTCGCTGCCTACCCCCAGGGCAATGCTTTGACGGAGATCGGCGTTCATTTGGATGCACAGCGCTTATCCGATTTAAGCAAGGGTGATTCGACTGATAACGTTCACTCGACGCGCATCATGTTTACGGTTTCCGGAGATGCGCGAACCGAGAACATCACCGAGGAGACGATTTGTGCTGCGTTGGAAAGATATGGCGAAATTGTGAAAATCGAGCTGCCCTCGACAAAGCCTGGCAAGCCTAAAAGATGGTTTGTGGAGTTTGTGAAGGCGGCTTCGGTAGATACCGTCATGCTGGTCGATGTATATATCGCGGGCCAGCCGGTACGCATACGACGAGCACTACGTGAAGAAGATTTGAAGAAGGAGGCACAGAAGATCAAGGAGGCCGAGCATCGTAGAGAATGGTCCAGGCAAAGGCGGGAGATGCCAACTAACGATCCCCGAGAAATGCGTCGGCGTAACAATGATCTTGCCACCACATCACGCCTGGTCGCCGGAGGGGATTTGTGGGCGAATTACGGCTACGGAACCGAGGAGCAATACCAGCAGCAGCAGAAGTATTCGGATTCATCGGCTGCAAACCCTACAAACTTTGGATATGGTTATATGTAAAAATTCCGTCGCCCGTATTGGGACCATGACAGATGGATGAGCAACGGCGGAAAAACGACGTTTGAGCAACGCCGTTTTTCCAAATTTACTAAAAATCATTGTTGCTCAAACCTCGTTGCTGATCTGCCATGGTCGCCCATCTTTCAATTTTGATATTGCGCTTGACACTTTCCGGGTTACATTTTTTTACACGTTGTGGTTTTCCATGATCTCTTTGCTTTGTATTTGCGATTTTTACTAATAATATTTTTTTCAGGTACACTTCCGCAATGGGCTTCGCCGAGCTTTGGTTCTCTCATCCCCGCAAGTATGGCCCTGGCTCCCGCTCGTGCCGCGTCTGCGCCGGACACCATGGCCTCGTCCGCAAATACGGCATCAACATGTGCAGACGTTGCTTCCGCGAGTACTCTGGTGACATCGGCTTCAAGAAACTCGACTAAACCTATTCGCGCCCGGCTTTTGTTATTCTTTTCCTCATAAATTGTTGATTCTGATAATCTGGCGTGCAAGCAATTCATGATAGGCGTTGGGTTGGTTATTTACAATTTATTTGCTCGCGTGCGGAAATATAGATCATTTGCAGACCCGGGTTGAGATCGATGACAATGTAAGAGCGCATTCATCATTGTTGTGCGAGGAAAATGAATTGGAGGCGCTCGACGGAGCGACTGGGATCGTGCAGTTTCAAGAACACTTCGAATAGTTGCAAGGTGACTGCGTATGGCTCGAGGACGACCAGGTTTTTTAGCTAAAGCGATAATAGGGTTTGGTGTGCTTTTACACTCACCATGCCGATAGGGATTTTTCTCGCCAGCGCCAGCCAAGCTTCGTAGGCGGGTTCCTTCTCGCCCGGTCTTTGGTTTGCTATTTGAACGAGAAGATGCGAGATGAACGTGACCACCGGCGTCAGTAACCCTTCACTTACCTTCTAATAGAAGATATTTGAGAGGGGCGAAAAAGCTTACCCGTGATAGCTTGACAATGGCGATCTCCACATTTTCGGCCAGTTCCTGGATCACCTTGCGTTCTGATTCTGGAAAGGCGGTCCCATTGGTTTGTATTGTGGGTTACCTGGGAAGTAGCTGGAATTTCCCTCCCTCCGGCGTTTTGGTTCAGGCTCGCCTGTTTGGGTATCGTTGGCTCGCCGTCTTCCTTCGCTGATCACCCACTCAGCGACGATAAGGAGATTGGCCAGCAATCGTGCCATTGGCAGAGCATGGGGGCATTCATAGAATATTTTGGTCGCGTTTTCCTCTTCCTCGGGGACCAAATAGTCGACCTAGATGGATTAGAAATATAACGACCATGCGAGAATGGAGCGAAACTGAAGAAACAAAACCCACAACGCATTGCGTGAGTGAAACAAGTGATCTGGCCGGGTCTAGCAGCGCTGCTGATAGCATCAGTTCTCCAGCACATAACAGCTCGTCGGCCGTTCGGTTCCGCAGACTGTTGTGCATGAAAACCTTCGGAAAGGGTGTTTCACATCCAGCTAAAAATAAGATTACCTCAATCCACAGCTTCTGGACGCCCTCCCTATTGCAGTGGTCCAAGAGTTTGAGTGCTGGCGGAGACACCCACGCCTGCTTTTGTATATAGAACCATGCGCATTTGAGCGAGTGTCTTTCCGGGACCTAAATTTTCGGGTCGCGTATTTGTTCAACGACTTTTAGCATACTTCCTTACTGCGCAGCGGCGTCAATTTCCTATCAGACATCGCGATGACGGTGTATGCCATCGATTCGATAAATGCGGGTCCGGAGAGCATCTCGTCGATTTGATGTTGACAGGAGTTGCGCACGAACAGTGGCATCGGGCTAAGATTCGTAGAGGTTTAATGATTTTCAAGCGTTACTTGGCATCGGTTTGGATCAGCTCGTTCATGCAATCATGAAGCGTGCGGGCCATCACCATCTTTGCCTCTAAATCTATTTTATAGTCTTGTCTATTGGGATCAGGCGACAGGGCGTTGAACTTACCGGAATCTGGCTGCATGTCCAACCAGTGAATGATACAGATCATCAAAAACGACGAGGCGTTGAAAATGTTGGTAATAATTTGCTGGAATACTTTGTTAGACATCCTATCCGACGAACCCGATACTCGGCCTCGAATTGCTTGGCGTTCGTTTCTGAATACTGCGTGATGATGATGTCGCAAATCACGGGGATCATATTGATAACGTCGCCGTAGGCTGCTCTAAATCTGGATTTAGAAACTAAGATGTCCTCACGTCGCTGGGTCCCAAAATCGGCCAGATTCCCGAAGCATCATCACCTTGTCGCGGTGCTTTTCCATTTCTTCGGCGCTGCTCTTTTCGATGACAGGCTAAAAGCCGGGGTGCACGTTTTATCTGATTTATCTACTCTCTGCCCTAATCGTCGCACACACTGGATGTCCCATTTGTAGAAGATACCCTCTTCCAACATTTCCGAGCCCCCGCTCACGATCTCTTCGGTCGTCTGAATTTTCAATCAAAGAATGATTTTCTTGAACTTACCAGGTTATTAAATGTCTGTCGCATACGATATAATAAGTGGAAAGTGAGATCGAATGTCTTGGCCCGTTCCTCGGGGTCCGCGCCTGGTGTTGGCTTCTCCGAACCAAGGTTTGCCCTGCATTGAACAAAATTGGTACCGGAATTGTTAGCTGATACTATGTAGCTTTCTACGCCGTCTTTAGCTATGGAAAACTAAAAATTCACTGTTTCCGAAATCGTCATGAATGTCTACATTCATGACGTTTGTTTTTCTGACTGATTAGTGATCAAAAACTGCTAAACGCCTGAAAACCACTATGAGACGCTTAAATTTTGTGATGTAGGTAGAGGCCAGCTAGCTTACCCCCCCCGCTAACACTCCAGTACCTTAAAAGTAACATTTTTGCCGCTGCTCACCTTGCGATTTTGGAGCTGAAATTCAGCATGTTGTCCGAGGCGCAAAAGGTCGTGCACACGGTGTCGAAGGAAACCCCACCGTTGTTGACCATATGGGAAAGGATTTCGAGGAATTTCTACAATTTCTAGATCTTCACCTATTTTTAGTTTTAACCTGGCTGTTCCACATCTTTGTAATCGTATTTCGGGCCTCGATCGCCTTCCAAATTAGATGATTTTTATGATCTTTTTGGTGATGGGGCCTGGATTTGAATGAGTGGTTTGTCCAATACTTACGATCTAGCTTTTGCTACGTGATCCGAAAATGCCTTCGAGATGACGCCAGTTTCGGTGAGCATGAACAAGAACACCTGCAACGGCAGCTCGTCCTGATATGCGTCGAGAATCTATATTTTCAAGGTTTCAGAGGGCCGGGTAAACCTACGTGCTTCCCCTCGATCAGCACCTCTTGCAGGATCGCTTCCATACTTTCGATCGGCCACGAAATATCGTTCTAATAATTTTATTACTTTTTTGGAAGTTTCGACATACTCGGATCATGGCCAAGATTCGTGGGAGTTTCAGCAGGAAGAAGGAGTCGACGAAGATTGATTTGGTTGGATCGAGCTGAGAATTGACCAGATTTGTCGGCCAGATGAACTTACATGCTTCAACAGACACGTGTAGATGAACTCCTTGATCATCGTCTTCGATTCCGTTTTCAAGGTTGAGGCGATCATTTGAAGCGTTTGGACGATCTAAGGATTTTTGGAAAATTTAGAACTTGTTTTGTTACCTCGCCAACCGTTGCGGTCACTCGGAAACTGGCAAAGATACTGGCGAGCGTACGGATAGCTGCTGGGGACTAAAAACCGTTGTGTTTTGCTTTTTTTACGGTTTTACGAGAACACGCACCTGATTCATAGGATTGTCCAAATCATGGTCGGGGATGTATGGGCTTTCTTTGAAGGTACTAAAAATATTTTACATTTCCACTTCGAAACCGACTTTGTCAGCTCTAAATGAAGCTGCTTGAGATTGGCCTGCTCCGGGGAATGCTCGAGGGCGGCGTTGATCGGACCCATGACGAGGGCTACTTTTTCTAAAAGTGATTTCAGAGTCAGGTGATGGTACTACGGACCCGGCTGGTCCCAACAGTATTGCAGTAGGCTGTAGATGATGTTTTCCCGGATGTAGCTGCTCAGCTCGACGACGAAAATGTCTAATGAATCCTCCAGTTCTTCCCTGACGCAGTACTAAAAGAAAAGGTTTTCCGGATATTTAAAAGCTGGCTCACCTCGATACCTTTTGCAGCCCAACCGAAAAAATTAAGCACCGAGTCCGCAAATCTCAGACAAGCTTCTTTGTCCTGCGGATCGCACCTAGTGCCGAAGATTTGTGGTTACAGTCGTCTTAACTCACCGAAAGTTCCCCAAATTATTCCGGAAAACGGCAAAGATAGACGCGATCGCCTGCTCGTATTCGAATTTTTCGAACTGGGTGAGCTTGTCGAGCAGGTCGGGCAGGGTAAAGTTCTAAAATCGTTGATAGGGCTCGACTCTTTGTTCACCTCACAAAAGAGGACCATCTGCAGACATTGTAGCGCTCTCGGCGCGGCCACTCTTCGCGTGCCAGCGGCGATTAGATAATCTGATGGGAAGTACACAGAATCTGTACTGAAAAAAGACCTGCAAATTGCGCAGCATCAATGGAGTCATATTTCAGCCGCCCCTGGTAGAGGGCTTGGGAGAATTGGGTTGAATCGAAATTGGTCTGGAATTGTTTAGGTTGAAAGGGAAATGTTAATTATAGCACAGAGCTTCTTAATTTTTTAGATTTTCAGCTATTTCTATAGCACGTTTTTTTTGCTTATGAATACCTACCGTCCACAAGATGTTCTTCGTATTGAGCGCCCACTGTTTTTTGCTGTCCTCTTCAGACTCGGAGACCATATTTTCAGACGGGTTTCCGTCGCATCGGCCGTCCAAATAACTCGGTTAGTATATAGCGTGTATCCGTCTCTGGCCGCCCATTACATTGTGTGTAGCCCGGGGGCTGAACCTTGTATTCGCGCATCAGCTGCTCGTGCATATTGCCGGGCGGAAAGAGGGCCCCATTCCCTTCATGGTGTCAGCCGTTAGACAAAAGCAACTGCAAAAAAATCAATCTTGTAGGTTGGTGTTGATGAATTACTTATAAACTTTCCTTTTCATCCTCCTCCCTTCTTGGATTTAATGTTTTTTGTCGACAAGTTGTGCTTTGTTCTCTTTTTCGCGATTTTCGTATTTTTTGCCACCCTCAAAATATTTTTTCTTCAGGTAACCCTGCCATGGCTTCCGAGCTTCCGATAGACATCCATTGCGCGAAACTACTCGGTGAGTATCTTGTCACTTTTTCGCATTTTTAGCGCGTCGTTTCGAATTCAAACTTGTTTCCAGATTGGCTGATCAGCCGCCGGCACAGCAACCGTGAATGGCAGAAAAACGTGCTTGCCATCCGCGAAAAAATCAAGACGGCCATCTTGGACATGCCGGAGTCAGAAGAAGTCGTTCGGCTGCTCTCCGGCACTTGTGAGTTTCCAGATTTCGAGTTTTTGACGCCCTTTTCAGCCATTAACTACTTCCACTGCCAACAAATCATCAATATCCTGAAGGAGACCGAGAAGGACACGAAAAACTTCCTCGGCTTTTATTCATCTCAACGGATGAAGGATTGGCAGGTATGTTTTTAGGGAGGGCGTCTGTAACTCGATTTTCAGGAAATCGAAAGCCTCTACAAGAAGGATAACGTCTACCTAGCGGAAGCTGCTCAAATCTTGCAGCGTTTCGTTCAATACGAAATCCCGGGCCTGAAGCGACAAATCGCGAAGGCGGATCAGAGTCTGGAGGTTTGTTTATTTTTGATTAATTTTTTTTAGTTGATTATCTTTAGGAAGGCGTGAAGAAAGAGAAAGACTATTTAAAACAAAGCGCCGATGCTAAAAAGGACTATCACAAGGAGCTGGAAAGACTGGGTAACCATTCTAGAAGATTTTTATCCTCTTTTTAGGCCTACAAGGAAAAAAGTTGCGCTCGGAGTTGCTGGCGCTGGCAGCCGATCTACCGGCCTTTTTCGCCCAACAAAACTCCCAAATCGGAAACCTTGCCGCGGCGCGGGACTACTACGCCAATTTCCGCACTTACTTATTACGGTAATGCTTGCGAAATTATTGTTTCTCTTCAAAATACAATATTGAACTATACGATGCTCTATATGGAACTTTCAAGATATACTCTCCTTTTAGCGGTGTTCTGCCAACATCAGCCTTCTTGCCCGCTCTCTCCTTACTGTTCACAAAGGGCGGCAACGCCACGGCGTACGAGCTGAAACACGGGAAAGCGCCCGATTCCGTCGAGCTGCCCAACTACGATTTGCTGCTGAGGGCCGGGGAAGAGGAGAAACCCGACGAGGGCATCGATTTCGGCGACGACATCGATTTTGGGGACGGTGATGCGATAGATTTCGGGGAATCGATTCAGATTGAGACTGTCGGAGATGATACAGGTGAGGGTGAAGTCTTCTCGAAAGTCTACGCTTTCAGGTGCAACCTTGGGTGGGCTTGTGGCACGAGGTGATGAAGCGCTGCCGTTATTGGAGAATACTTCGACCCAAAAGACTGTGAAGAACGAGCTAAAAGAAGTAAGTTTCCCTAGTCCATACTGAAATTAAAGCTTCCTGTCAGTTGCTCGGCTTCTTGGCAATGCGACTCGAAGACGAGGAACGCGAATCCCCGGCCGACAACTTGGTTTTGGCGGCGGAGGTTCGACCTGAGAACGCCAAGGTGATTACCCCGTTTTTCAATGAACTTACTCTCAATTTAAGGTCCCAATTACGACGCTGAACACCTGGATTCGCCTGATCAAGGAGATTCTCGCCGATCTTTCCGCCGAGCATAGGATTCATCTTTTCAAAATTCGCTCAAGCCCACAGTGAGTTGTTTGAGAAAGTTTGAAACCGGTTAAATGGCACGCTCAATTCTCATTTTCAGATATGTCGAGACGCTAGTCGAGGCGCTGGAGCGGAAGCACGAATCGGAAGCGCGATATGCCATGATGGCCGAAGCGATGAAGGAACGACAGGTAATCCATTGCCATTTGTTATTTCGGGGTGGGGCACACACTTTTTCCTTTGGACAGAATTTTTCTAATTACTAAGGAGGGGAAGTGTTACTACACTGTTTTTTTACTATTCCTAAGCGTGAAAAAATCCAGAAGTTTTACGAGAAATACAAAAATAGCGTCGATAGGACCAAAGGGACCGATTTTCGGCCAAAATTCTAAATTTTTGGACATTTTCCTACGTTTTCTGAAAATTTTTCCGTTTGAAGTATAGTTAAAATGATCAAAATCACTACCAAAATGCCTACCATTAAATTACTGACGGGGAATTAGGAAAATTTTACATAAAAATACTCTAGAAACATTTTAGTCCGGGGCTTCCGAGACCGCAAAGAAACTACGCGCCGAACTGCAGGTGCTCCTCTCAAACACCAAGGAGCTGCAGGAACAGGTAATACTTACTTCTTGCCTTCAAATTCCCATTTTTGTAGATCGCCGCCGAGATTTCGAAGAAGTACGAGAACCGGCGGGTGAACATCATGGGAGGCTATACGCCAGCACTTGCCAACATTTCATAATCTTAATGCATTCTATTCTTTTCTTGTTTTTACGTTTGGGGGCATTTCTTGGGAGAGGTTTCCTGTGTCATATTATCGCTCTGTCTGTGATCCTGTTCCCTGTTGACTGGTCTGTTTTACCAGTAACTTTATCGACTCGAATAAATATCTTTATAGATTGCCGGTCTATTTATTTTGAGCCCAGTTGAGATACTGAAGAAATATATTTGCGAATATTCGCGCTATTTCAAACCGATCGTTCAGCGAATTAGCACAATTTGTATTTGTAGATGTCCGCACAAACCTATCAACATTATCGCCAAACGACGGTTGGAAGCGCTTTACAAGATGTAGGGCTTATTTTTGAGGTTTCGAATGTTAGCTTTTTAGGTGCTAGAGGAATACGTACGTGATGGACGAATCAACGAACATCTACGAAACAAGGTATTCCATTATTTCGCATCGGGACCTCTTATTTAGACGCTTGCCGTTTTCGATAACGTCATGAGCAACGCGCTTCACGATATGGGAAAACATAAGGTAGCGCCGATCATCAATCTTCACTTTTCTCTAGGCGTCGTTCATGGGCGAGAAGTTGGTCGCGTACCGTTTTTGTGATAACGTGTGGACGCTTATTGTCAAGAACGTCACATTCACGTGAGTTTTGGGTTTTAGGCGATGATCGATCGCTTTTTTGAACGTGAGAAAGACGTCTAGAATCCAGATTCCCTATCTCGACATTAAATAGAAAAGTTAAGTCATTGAAAACCCGAAAAACCTGAGCTCAGATCTGTCGCCGGAAGCAAAGAGGAGGGAGCATTGTTGGTGACAAGCACTTTTGCTTCTTTATCCTTGCTTATTCTCGTTGCACACGATTTTTGGGCTTGTCAATGCATCTGATTTCAGTGACCAAACACGCACGTTCGATACGATTGGCAAGGTGGAGCGGATCAAGATCGTGGCGTGCGACGGACGCGAGGCGACCCAGATGGCCCGACGTGGACCGACCGGCGCGTAAACGCATCTGCTCTGGGTTTGCTTATTCATCCTAAAATTTGCGGGACCAAATAGCAGTCATTGTACATCTTCCCAATTCCACAATCCACTTTATGCCATTTCTATTACTTTTTGCACCATTTAAAGGCCTGTCGATGACGATGTCCTTGTCACAATCTGTGATTCGCCTAGCAAGCTAAATAACTTTTTCGTGATTCCTTCCGCGATCTTTGTTAACTCTTTCCCTGTCCGTCCTTACCACGGGTTGCATAGATAAACAAGTTAGAAAAATTGAAAATGCCTTCCACTCCAACCCAAAGTGCAATACTTTCTTTATTAAAGCTGCAAGTGGCTGGACGACAACCGAAAACTATCACAAAATCTGACGGGGCTTTCTACAGCGGCGAACAACTCACAAAAAAATTGGGTAAAAATCTGAATCTACTATGAAAACAAGCTCGAAATGGGCATAATAAATAAAGTTTGGTCTCTGGGGGGAGGGGGGAATTATGCAGTGGATGAAGGGCTAGTATGGAATATCGTTCTGTAGGAATTGCAGCTGGTCGTACATCTTGCTCCTGATGTTCATCGAGCAGTTCGTGATCACGGTGTGCATGTGGCGGGCCGCTTCCTTTTCGCTGATCTCGGGAACGAACCTAGAATCGTGATTAGGGGCGAGTTTGAAAGCACTACCTCGCTCTAAACTGTTGAATGGTCTTTCCCCTAAAGCACGGAAGCCCTGTGTCAAGCATCAGCGAGACCAGTGAGATGAAAGCCTAGAATACCTTCATAAAAACCTGATAAATTTTCGATACCTTATGGAAAGGGCGGACGGCCAGGAAGGCCTTGATGCACAACGTCGAAAATTCTCTGAATTTTTGCATAGCCGTTAACATAAAAAGGATACCTAAAATAGATGGCTTCCGGCTTTCCGCCGAGGATGGCAACCATTTCTTCGCTCAGCTAAAAAAGAGCGTTAAAAATCAAGCATCAACATACCTTGAAATCGGGCTCAAATCCTAGATTGCCGCCGGGGCTGCTCTCGAACATGAAGCCGAAATCTGGAAAAGTAAATCATTAGCGCAATTCGAAAAAAGGTTACCAATATGGATGATATGGCCATCGGTGTCGAGCATGATATTCCCGTTGTGGCGATCCTTGATCTGCAGCAGATAGGAAAACACGGAATACGCGGCCATCGACCGGATGAAGTTGCTGGAATCGAGACGCGTGGAATCGGAGCTTAAAAACAAAGCTACCGTCGCGCATTCTGGAACTGCTCGCTGTTCTCGTCGCCGTAGGTCGTCTTGAAGTACTCGAATAGGCCTAGGAAACGGTTAAAATTTTTGAATGTAAAAATTTACCAAAATCCGTCTGTCTGCCAAGCTGATCGCGCGATTTTGAATTCGGTACGCATTCGATGACACCGCAACCAGGTGCGGTGGCGACGACGCGGTACGGGAAGACCTGAAATAGGGATTCTTGAGTCCGCCTAGCTGGAATTAACAAGTTTAAAATCATCAAAAGCAAAGGATTTTTTGAGCTATACAATTCGGTGAGGCGGCCGATTTTCCTATAAAAGAATTTCATAGAAAAACTTTTGAAAAATTCAAATATTCGGTCATTTAAGCAAAATATGTGATTTTTATTTGTCTCTATATCGCTCTATCGAACCCTTTAACCGCCGCTCACCTTTACCGGGATCCCCAACGCGCTCCAAGCGTTCTTCATCAACTGCATCAACTGCAGGGCCAGCATATCCTGGCGCACATCGTCGCCCACCTAAGAATTTTTTGATCCCAACCCCCTAGAGAACTTTTACCTTAAAAATGGCCGCCTGCCAGTTCCCTTGCTCGTCCTCCTCCTGCTTCAGCTTTTCGATGTCCGTCTCGGCGGCCGGCCGGTCGCCATTCTCGCCGGCCTGGGCGAGCAGTCCGAGCCGTTCGAGCTCCTGGGCCCCGCAGCGGCGGACCTTGAACTTGGCCAAGAAGGGCGCCTTTGCCGCACTAAATAGAAGCCAAGTTGAAAGGCCATAAAAAACAACCTTTGCATCGGCGCTCCACTTTTGTAGTCAATGTCGAGCAGGAATGCTTCGGGGTTGGATGGCAGGTAGCAGACGGTCTCTATTTTCACCTAAAATGATAGGTGGACGAAATCAATTTTAATTTAATTGAACTAAACGGTGCCTAGGCGTTATCGGGGGGAGGTGTTATCGTTATCAGTTTTGATCTTCTAAACTTTAATTTAAAAATTTTTACAACAGAAATGGAAGAAGTGTCTATCGTAAATTCGTAGGCAGCGTAAAAAATGTTGATTTTTATCAAAATTGCAAAAAACTATTTTTGGTCAAAATTACAATTTTTAAAAGATTTTTAAGTTTTTGGTAAAATTCATCGCACTCTCTTTCGTCTAAAACGAGTGTGAAAATTCCGCTTATAGGAAAAGCAGTCGGATAGACCCCCCCCCCACGATATTGGAAAGCACCAAATAAACAAAAAGATGATCCAACCTCGGCCAGCGCCTTCAGGCACGCCTTCTTCCGTTGATCGCCCTTCGGGTAGGGCTTGATGACGGCCGAGATGTTGGTCAATTTGTGGAACAGGGCGAATTCGGCCTCATAGAAGCGCTTGTGTGCGCCCTCAAGGCGGGAGAGGATCTTCTTGGTGACCTCGTTGAGGGCGTCGTAGAGGACGGGGTCTTTTTGCTTGCTGTCCTCGTCGAGATACATATTCGTCTGCATATTCCAGAGGAGTTGATGGGCGAGGAGTTGCGAGTGGCCGGCCAACCAAACGAGAAGTTCGGAGACGAAGCTCATCTGAAAATAGTGGGCGGTACTTTGGCAATATCGGGGAGGGGGTCCTAAAAGTCCAGATATCCCTATTAATAGAATTCTAAATATTTTTACAAGTTTTTGATAAATTTTAGCCAAGATTTAGCTAAACGTAGAAAAATAGTTGAAAATCGGGACATTTTAGGCCAAAAACTTTTCCTGCCTTTTCATATTTTTTACGTTACGGAATAGTAAAGAAACCCTGTATTCATTTATTGATACAAAAATTTGAATAAATAAAAATCTACATAATTTATAGATTTAAATTTATCCTAAGAAAAATGTGCCCCCCCCCGGTATTGCCAAAGAGCGCAAGGCGAGATTTTCGATACCTACCGAATCGTGGCGAATGGACTGCACCATTTGAGGGATGTAAAGGAGGAGCGTGTCCGGAGGGTAGCCGCGTAGCACACGCACCGCATACTGTACGGTCACCGGGTGTTGTGGGTATTGCCTAAAAAATATAGATATGAATAACGGAATTTGATCGTCTACCGTGGAGTGAGCAGCGAGAGAGCCATGGCCGGGGAGCAGGCCGTCCACGTGAGCACCACCGAGATTTCGGCCGACTCGAACACGGCCGAGTCGCCGAGGAAGAAGGGCAGAGCATCGGCCAGGTGCGAGACGTGCGTTGGGGATTGGCGGACGAGCTGTTGGATCGTCTGGTGGAGGAGGGTGCAATTTCGGAATCTGGAAATTATAATAATTTGATAAATATAAACCAAATAAAAAATAAATAAAAGCAGCACCTTGCCGGTAGATAGACAGCCAATTCTGGGCAGACATCCCAGGCCACTTTCGCGCTTTCACGGAGCACCTTCAGCTCGGTGCGCACGTCTAAAAAGGCTGTATAGTTTAACAAAAAATTAATAAAACAGAAACGCAGCGCCTGCTCCCTCCCCCCGCTAACGCACCAGAGCCGCGGTTTTCTAAAAAAGATGAGCTTTTAAAAGATGTTCAGCAATTAAACAGAAAGCTTCGCATACATCAGATTTTTTGATGATTTTAGGTCGCAAAAAGGAGAGTTACGATCAGAGACGTAATATGACGCAGCGTATGTCAGTTTTTCGATATTTCCCTATTACTTTACTAAAATCCTGGAAACGTCTAAACAAGCCATAAAAAAGCTTCCAAATTTCCAAATTTAGCTTTTCTCTCGAAACAAATTCTTGTTTCTTGCTTTTTTCTCTTTTGCGGAATCCAAATTGTTTTCCGGTTACACCGTAGTAAAGAAACATAATCTTCAAAACGAAACTGCTTGTCTTCTCGCTCTTTCCGGAGCGGAAGATTGGTAACCAATGCACCCAAATCGGTACCAACCTGGAAGCGTCGTTTTCATCCACTGCTCAATAGCCGTCAACGCGTCGTCGAGCGGTGGTCCAAGTGGATGTAGCCACGCGTTCAGCCGTTCAATCTCGTTCGCCACAAGCAGCAGAATCAGGTTGCGCTGCTTCAAGTAGGGCCGGGAGTGGCTCTCGCCGTCCACGGCCGCCTTTGACGATTGGCTTTCCGCTTTGCGCGATACTGAAACTAAAGCTGGCTATAGAGACATTTGACGGAAAACCCGACATTTGGACAGCGACTTTTGGACGGTGGTGACGGAGAGCTGGTTGGTGAGGTTGGTGCTAGAGGGTGGGGCATGCCACGTCGAATTTCTTGCCGACGGCATCGATTGGCTCAACACCGGGTAGTTGATCAACGCGTTGAAGCTCTCTGAAATGCAATGGAGCCGATCAAAAGCGTGATGGCGAATTGCTAGCAGAATACTGAAAATTAATTTAGTCTAACTTCAATATTTGGAGCAGCCAAATACCAATTTTTCTGCAACCCTATAACCAAATATAATCCTTTTCATAGCATTGCACAATGTTTTTTTTATATAACCGGCACATAAATTTTTTTAAAAAATGACAAAAAGGTTAAAAAATTAGCGTTTTAATTTTTTTAATATTTTGATAAGTTCCTTTTCAAGCAATCAAAACTACTAAAAAGGCCAAACAAACGCAATATACTGGTATTTTATCAAGTTCCAGGCAAAAAAAAAAAATTGATCACCCTCTGGTTCACCGGCTAATTGCCAGACTGAATTTCGGAAAAAATAGATTGTGACAAACCTTCAATATCCGGTCGTTCGCGTTTCAGGATCTTTGCGTCGGCAAAGACGGTGTGCCAGAACTGGATGAGGTACGAGATGTCGGCCTTCAGGGCTGCGGCCGATTGGGTGATGCCCTGTGGAGGCAGTGTGAAGTAGTGAAGCGCTGAGGCATAGGCCCGGTCGCGCAGTATCGAGTTTGACGACACGCCGGCGTTGGCTTCGTTCTGAAATCAAAGGTGTAAAAGCGATGGGCGGCCAAAAAAAATCAGAATATCGAATCATAACACCGAATTTTTGGAACCGATATGTCAAAAATTCGAGATTCTGACGCGATTTTGAAGTTTTGATTTGCGACATTCCGTAGGCGATCGGCCCCTAATTTTTACCTGCGCCATCGACAGCACTGAAGTCAGCAACCGGAACCGAAGTCCAACAGCTTCAATGTGTCGCGAAATGGCTACTATAATAAAAGTTTTGAAAGTCGCCCAGGAAGCTGACTTCTCGGCGTCTTCGGGAAGCTCTTCCGCCGGGTCGAAAATGCGCGAGCCGGGGAGAAGCCGACTTCAAGGGGCACCGTGCAGGCAAACATGTATTCGATCAGCTCGATCTCGTCCTGCGATGCGTACTTCGACACGTCGACCCGTTCGAAGAGGAAGTCGATCCAGATGCGATGCGGCGCGAGGTTGGGCGCTCTGGAAAAGCGTAATTTCTTTTGAATTCCCATTAAAACGGGCTTCGCATTAATGGTATAACCAATTTTTTACAAATTTGTATTAACAACTACCAAAAAACTATTTATTTCGACTTGAAAATTGTTTAAAGGGCCCCAACCCCGCGCCCCCCCGCCCCCCCCATGGCAAAAAACCACCGCATGGGGCCCCAGGGGAGGAGGCCGAACGTGCGGCAGGCAGCCTTACCGCACAAAATCGCGCGCTATTCCCCCGGAATACATGACTTTTTGCCGCCAAAACATTGGGTATCCCTTTAAACCATTCCAAATTTTAATAAACGCACCGTGGCGGATGGTGGATTTCCTGGCAAATCGGCGAGATCAGCGGCTCTTCCGGCTCGTAGAGGCCAAGCCGACTTCGGCAGCAAAGCGACCACACGCTCGACATTTCCTAGAACATCACCATTTCACAGGTCTGACGAAAGCCGAACCTGCATAAAATGTGTCTGCACATCGGTGCGCGTCGACAGCAGCCAGCTCCAGCTCATCACGCAGAGTTCTAGGGTGGAGTCGGTAAAGTGGAGCGCCGGGATGGAGACGATCAGCGCCAGAAGCCGATCATTTCGCCTCGGCAACACCACGAACAGCGCGGTCAGCAGCATCAGCGAGCTCTTGATGCCCTCGCTATCATCTGAAAACATGAAAATAAATCGTTATAGTTAAAAGCCCACCGGAATCACAGGCCTTCCTGAACTCGTCTTCGAGCTTGTTGATGAGGTAGTGCTCGACTTCATCGTCTTTCATGCCACCTGAAGCAAAAATGAGGGGAATTTTCGATACGTATATGGTAATGGGGGTGACATTTCTCAACACTTTTTCGATATTTTGGTAATGCCATTCTATAGAGCGCCGAAAAAATCGACGAAAATGATTAATTTTCATAATTAATCTGATTTAAAGACATTCTAATACAAAAATTTCGCTAGAAAGACCCGGGAACCACATACGAGGCCGATTTTCGGTACGCCCAAACCTATATTAACAGCTGCTTTATAGCACGAAATTCCGTAGTTAAAGTTACATAGTTATTACCTGCAGTGCCATGTCCTTCTCTGGCCTGCGTGAGGCGACCCCGGATAAGCCCGACGTAGAGCGGGCGCAGTCTCATCGCACGCTGATAGAGCTTCTCGCCAAGGTCGGTTCGCTCGAGCTTTTGCCGCAGGCCACTGTCGATGGCCGTGTCGTAGGTGGCTTGGTATTCCTGGAAAATTCGATTTACTTAGGAGCCATTTTTCTACTATAAAAAGTACTTTTTATTATTTCACTAATTTTAGTATGGATAACCGCAATAATTTTACAAATTTTGGGAAAATTCCAGGATGTATGGAATTTTCCGGTAAAAATTCCAAAAACAAACTTTTTAAAGTGGGTTTTTTCATTCTATAGATTACCTTTTTAACTAATTTATTTTTGCGTTTGATTAAAAATCCACAAATCCAAATTTTGAACACAGTTCGGACACTTTGAGCATTTTTCATTATCCTACGTTTTCTAAATAGTTTTTTTACTTAAAATATAGTTCAATTTAATGAAAACGCTATTAAAGTACTATTATAATAATACTAGGCAGAAATCGGCTTCGAGAAAAACAATTACAAAAACTAAAAAAACTGACAATCAAGTGGCTCCTCGTCACGTTCGGCGCCCACTTCATCGCCTCCTGCAAAATCTGCTCGCATCGTACTCTGAAGTCGAGCGTCGTCGACCTCCGAGCCTCAGGGGAATCCTAGAGCTCCAATATTTTTGGTGAAAATCCAAATACCAGCAATTGCACGGACCACTCGACACCGCTCAACGTGAACACCGTCAAGTCGGCGTCCACCGTATCTTCCAGGCCCTAAAAGAGATATCGCAAAATCGGTGCATTTTTTTACCCGCAACAGCCGCAGCAAGGTGTTCAGCACCGCCGGGCTCCACAGGAGGAACGGGAAATTGTCGACGAGTTTTGAGAGCGAGTGATCGGCACAGCGGCGCACCTCGCGGAGGTTGTGCACGAAACGGAAGAGCAGGAATTGAGCATGGCGCACGAGGCGTGGCTGAAACGAAAATCGGTTCGTTTGATAGCGGGAGGATTCCCTTTATTTAACCTGAGCCCTATAGGAATAAAACATAAACTTTTTTTTATTTTTTTTTAAAACTTTCCGTTTACTAAAAAGTTATTAAAAATCTTTTCATCGGAAGTTTTGCAAATTTGGAACATTTACATACATTTTGAACCAAACAGACAGAATTACGCAAAAATTTTTAAAATTTTATTTGAAAAAAGTAAACGGCTATTAAAACAGTCTCTCTGTATTCTAGGGCGTCTGGAAACTAATTTTAAAATATACCTGCACGTCGCTGATCTTGCGCTGCCGCTCCGACTGGATGTACTTGTCGAGGATGACGGTCGAGCCGGCCAGGAAGCATTGCCAGATCATTGTTTTGTCTTTTCTTATCGTTCTGAACAGGGATAAACATTTAGCTGCTATCGACCGACCGATCCTCAAGGTATTTGAAGTATTCCTGGGGGGCACTTGGATGAAGTGAAGTCTGGACACGCATCTTCTCCATACGCAGAGCCGACAGCAGATACACGCATTGTGAGTAGTCCATTCGATTCACAAAGCCGACAACGTCTGCCGGGTGGTCGAGCTCGTAGCAGACGCTGTTGCGGATTTCTTGAAGGTCACTCTAAAATAACGGTGAGTTGGTAGGTACTGGACTGTTAGCGGGGGCACCAATTTTTGCCCGGTAGGCCCCCCATGTATTTTAGTTTTTTACATTTAAAACTGTGTAAAATTCTATGAGGCCTTTTTTGTAGAATTTTACACATTCTTTTTAGATATAAAAATCTTATCAAAACTTAAGATTTCGAAATATTTTACTTTTAGCCAAAAATGCATGAAAAATGACCAAAAACGTCAAAATCTCCGAATTTACAAAATTTGAAAGATCTAAATTTTTTTATGGCCGTCTAGTGAGCCAAAAGAACAAAAATTAGCCCCCACCCACTAACAGTCCAGTACCGGACAGAAACAACGTTTTTTAACGAACCGCCGTGATCGAATCCCCTTTGACGGGCGCGTTCTCGATGAGTTCGGATCGTAGATTCTCCTGGGCGGTGAGGACCGGCGATTTGGCCGCGATCACCCGCATCGCCTCGTAGCACTTGGCCGTGTAGGTGGTGCCCGTTTCCGGGTTGTCGAAACCGAGCACCGTGCAGATCGACCAGAAATCGCGAAAGAGGTTGCGAGCCCTCTGGGATGGGTTCGTGATCGGGTCCATGCGGGCCATCAAAGTTGCAACTTTTGGGATCAGTTTGCCGAGAAGGGAGATGTTGGCCGACGCCTGAATTAATTATCACTCATTTTTAACAAAAGCTTAAGCTACCTTAATTGATGTTTTGGAAGCCTTTCCCTTCAGGCGCTTACCATCTATTCCGACTTGGACGAACAAATCGAGCAGTCTAAAGGGCAACGAATACAGAAACCTCGGTTCTGTTTCATTATCGGGGGATCAAAACATTCTTTAAAAATTAATAAACTTTTTGACTAAAGTTTTGCGAAATTTGCATTATTTTTATGAACTTTCTAAATAAAAAAGGGCGTAAAATAGTTTTTTGACGCCAACGGGGACTAGGAAATATTTAGCTGCCCCCGATAAGGAACCAGAACCGAATCGTATTAACGAACCGTAACAAAAATTCGTTCTTCTCCTCGTCGCTCTCGATATTTTCAGCGATGCGCATCAATGCAGCTTGGACGGCCGGTGGCACATATCTAGAGGAAAATAGAAAATTTCCACTTTATCTCACCGATTTTGTGGCTGCCCTTCGGCGACGTCATTGCCATCCTGAAGCGTATTCGTCGGCCCGTACAACGCTCCGGCCAGTATCCCTTCGCCGAACAGCTTCATGATGCCGTCGTGGATCGTTTTCTGAAAACGCTACTTTAAAAATCGGGCATTGTAACCCTACACAGCCCGCAATCCACATCTTCGACATGCTGTAGATGATCTGGGCGTCGAGGGGTGAGGGCGGTTTGGTGAAGCGTTGCAGGAATATCTAAGAAGCGTCAATCTTCAAGGAGAAAACTTGTACCTGATGGATTAGTTCGGGAATCTCTTCATTGTCGGCCTGGGCGACGCCGATGCCACCGAGTAGAAGGATTGTGTTCTCACTCACGAGGGTTACCACGCTAAAATGATATTTGTGAAATTTTCGCTAAAAAAACTTTTTTTGGAAAACGTTAGAATAGTTTAAAGGGCCTCCATAAAAACCCACGAAATCTTGTCGGCCTTGCTGCACGCGTAGAGCTTGGAGGACAGGCTGGCAAGGCAGGCACGGATGATGTCCGCGTCCACTTTCACCGAAGCATTTAGAGATCTGAAAAAAATAACAATCTTGATAAAAATAACTTAATAATAGCTAATCAAAAGCTAAATTCTGAGCTTTTATTTTCGCCAATAACTCCTCTGTAATTTTAATACGTCGTTGGCGGCTCAATAATTAAATTAAGTCCAAGGAAATAGCAGAAAAATCTGCCAATTTCTGACCTGCATAGGGACGCTATGGCCTCTTGCCGAAGAGCGTCGAGTGCGGCGAAACGTTTGGCCCAAGCCTCGGAGTCGGTCGGAATTGGCCGGTTTAACGTGACGACGGACTGAAGAGGAAACTTTGAAAGGAGAAGCCGTTTTCAGCTACCGAATCTCCCGACAGCTTGGTCAACACCGGTGCGGGCTCGAGCAGGAAACGCGACAGTAGTGGGATGATCGTCGTCGTGGCCACTGATGGGAATTTCACGGCTAGATCGCCTGGAATTCCATTGAAATGGCATTTTTGCAATTTCGGGGGAGAACCAGTGCCTGAACTCTTCTTTACTATTCCTAAACGTACAAAATTCCAAATTTATAGTAAAAAAATCCATTTTCCGATTGGAGTGGCCGATTTTCCAAAAAAAAACTTCATTTTGGACATATTAAAGTTTTCTAAAAATCTTTAGCACTTGAAATATAGCAAATCTAGGCTTATAGTGGTAAATAAATTGATTCGCCTTTCGAATTCTCTGACACCCACCTAACGCCGACAATTCACGCAGCATCAGTGACAGCTGGGCGAGGAACGTGTTGCTGGAGGCCGTATGGAAAAGCCGCTCGGAGAGGCGATTGCATAGCGAGTCGGCATCTAAACGATTTTATTTACCTTCTAAGCCTTCTGATCGTGAAATACCAATATCGTCAGTCACCGTGCGGCACAGCAGTTCGATGGCCACCGAGCTGGACATGTTGGAGATCTTGGCGCGGCTGAGCGTCTCCGTCTTGAAAAACCAAATCATGATAATCATGAGAAATCCATATTATGCGGTAAACGACATTTACGTAATCGATGTTTTTATATCAATTCTACCGCATTCGACAACTTTCGACAAAGCCATAGCAAACCGGTTTTAATTTGTAAAATAATCGGTCAAAAATTCCTACCCCTATCGTCCGCCGCTTCTCCTCCTCGCTTGTCGCGCCGGCACGGTCATTTCGGCTCAGCAATTCGACGGCAAACACGTGGATCTGAAAGGGGAAAACCTAAGTGAAAAAAGATACCAACACACCTCTTTATGAAACTGGCGGCTTGCCGCGGGGAGCTGACCGGACGGGGGTTGCAGAACATCCCGGAGGACCGTCAGACAGCACAGGGTCACCACCTCGGAAAGCCAGCGATACGGGAAACGCTTCACTGTATTGCCCTAAAAAAAGAAAACTCAGAATCGGGCTCGACAAATATGGAACAACATTATAAAGGATGCGGGGAAGAGCTCTAGCGATGATTGCCAGGCCAGGCAAGCAACGACGAGTTTTCAAAGCACAATTCAGTGGGGAACTATTCGTTAATCCTTACAGGGATCCGAAATACCTGGAACAAAGCTGCATCTTGCTGCTTGAACGGAAAGTGTTAGAAAATGACAAAAAGAACATAGATATCATTTTTTATAGATAAATAAAAACCAATTTATATCCACCTCTTGTACTTCAACGGCGTACTCGTCAAGACGCGTCAATACGGCAGGGCGAACGAGGCGTTGGATCTGAAACAGAAATACGTACAATAATGTTGTAAACGCAAATTTGGCACAGTCTTCATGCAGGAATCAATTATCTCACCAACCGGATCAAATAGAGCCTCGGCGTGCTTCAACTCAATCGTCGAGCAGCGCTCCGGGTTTTCCGGAAAGCTGGTCCCGTGCCGGTTGTAGATTGGCTACAAAGAACATTATCGTTTTATGATTACATTTCTTACCTCATTCGGGCGCTCCATAGTTTTCTGCGCGGGCTTTTGATTCTCTACATCGTCCTCGGTGGCCTGCCGGAAGCCGTCGATCAACTTTTGCAACTCGTCCCCATCGCTCTCCGTAGCGTGGCCCATGCGAAAAATCTCGCTGAAATCAAGGAATCGTCATCAAGCGTAAAATGTCTTACCTTATCAAAGGCTTGCTGGGGTCCCGCGATGATCGACCAAATGAACGGAGCAACCCGAGCACTAGACATATTTTCTTCACAGTCGACACTAAAAATGATTTATTAATTGGAAGATTTCTGCTAAACTGCTTACCAGCTTCTCCAGGAGCGCCTCGTTTGCTTTCCACGTTGTTCAAAATCTCGTCCACAACGCAAGCGAGTAGGTCTGAAAAAAATAGATAAGCAGGGGTCCAAAAGCTATACAGTTAGATTAATCTTCGAAAAAAAATAAGCTACCTAATTGAGCGACGACAATCGTTTCTCGGTGTTCAGGGTGCTGTGCGGCCAGCTCAGAAAGGATTGTGTTGAAGCAGAAGGCGAACTGCTCAAAGATGGTGACACCTATGAGAAATAGCAATAGCTTCAACCAAAACTCACGATCCCGTTTGTTCAGAAACCCATTGTCGCTCCATTTCATGCGGGGAAGAGCCGCGTAGTATTGGAGGAGCCACGGCAGAATGCGGTCGATGTGTCGGCCCCTCGAATACAGAACAAACGTCCCCAGCGAGAGAAGCGAGCAGCGATGCTTGTGACCAAATGGCTGTTCATTGCTGACGAACTTCTAAATACATTATTTAGTTATTTCCTTGGGCTTAGATTGCGAGGAAGATTTGCCAACTCCTCACCTCGTATTGCAGAAGGCTCTTCACCTCCGATAGCTTCGCCGTGTCTAACTGAAAATATAGTTATCAGCAGCCTCATAAAATCCCAAAGCTGATTGTAAGATTTTCACAAAAGTCAACGAAATTTGTAATCGAAATCGCGAAAATACCGACCCTTCCAAGCGCCTTGGCGGTGTTGAAGAGGCTTTGGAAGAGGAAGTCTTCATTCTCCCTCATTCACGCTTCTGAAATTCGCTACACTTTTCGAGATCTACGGGTTTAAAACAGATTTTTTTGTTTATCGGATTTGCCAAATTGCCGCAGGCGGAAAGGCCGGCAAAACCGAATGCGACGAGACCACTGAGTACGGGCGTCAATAGTAGCGGTTCGTAGAGGGGCTTGCCCTCTTTAGCTTCACGGCCAGTCAAACAGGCCAAAAACGGCAATGTGCCGGAAGGGGCAAAAGCGTCGATTGGAGCGGAACGTAGCGGGCGCCAAAAAGTTTAAGCTCTTATAACTTTTTCAAACCGACTTAATAATCAAAACCCAATATCAATTATTGCGGAGTAGAATTTTACGGTTCGAATGATACCAAAGACAGCAAGTTAGCCCTCCGAAATACCACTTTTCACAAAGCCGTCAACAAAAACCGCCTTCGTTTCGATACTTTTTGAATTCAGTTTTCGTAGTGCTTGGTATCATTGGAATCGCCTTTTCCCATTCTACCAAGTTGGAAATCGCTTTTTTTAAGATTCCATTTAGTTTTAAAGTTATAAGGCTACGAAGTTTTGGCCCCATACATTTTCTTGACGAATGGAGCGTCGCGTTGCTTAGGCCCTTATTGCCGCAAATTCTGGGCGTGGCTTGATGATTTTAATAATCTGATTATTTCACTTTTTAAATCGCGTCTACCCTAAAATTGTCTAAAGCAACGATATTAGCCAAGCTAGTATACAAACCTACTCAGCCACCTATCATATTGCGGGATTTCGGGTAAAATCCAGGGGCAAAAAATCTTTAAAATATAGATCCGGGAATCCCGATGTATTTCGGCAAAAACTGTGTCAGCTCTACTATTCAATGGTCAACACGTAATCTTTCTGTTGTCCCTATCAGTTGTCATCACACACAGTTGCCGCGGCGGGGGTTCGAACCCGGGTGCCGCGGCTGGGAGGCGCCGTTCCTTACCCCAACGCCACACCGACAAGCCGGACTGGGTGCAGCGATTGGCCTGTTGAAAGGCGGAGCGGCGAGCCGGCCCAATCTGGTGGGACGCTACATATTATCCAAATCATTCTTTTTTTTTAACAAAAAATTCATTTTTATTTTTTTATTTTCCTCATCACAAATCGAGTGGGAGCCCATTAATTTATCGCTAGTCTTTTGTCATAAGTATTTCTTTGTTAAGGAAGGTTTTTAAGGTTTTTTTTTGGTTTTTTTGGTGTTTTTTTCACCTCGATTTTTAATAGAAAACTGAATTTTTCGTATTTGTATGAAAATTTACAAGCCTTTTCTCGGTGCTCAAACCAAATTTCCAACTGTTTCTGGGTTATTTTACGATTTTCGGTTTGTGAAGTACAAAACAATACAATCAGAAATCGTAATAATTTATTTTACAAAACAAAACGAGTGCGTTATGTGGAAGTGAGCATTTTGAGGACCAGTAAGAGGTGAAAGGGGTGGTGGTGGTAAGTAGAACTGCGCGGGGGTAGGGCCATGAGTTTTGAGGGTGGGAGAGGGTTACAAGGAATCCGTACCAGTATTCAACGAGGAATCGCAAATGTGATAAATAATTATTTAAATGGATAAATCAATAGTTTAGCATGTGAGCCCGGGAGGAGCGGTCAGAGTGGATTCGTTGGGTTGATGTGCTGGAGGAGTGGAGCACCTAAAATTATAATTTAAACTCGAAAGTTGGCTTAGACTTAGGCATGGCTTAGGCTTAGGCATTGCTTAGGTTTAGGTTAGGCTTAGGCTTAGACTTTCGCTTAGGCTTAAGACCTAGGCTTAAGTTAGGCTTAGGCTTAGGCTTAAGTTAGGCTTAGGCATAGCTTAGGCTTTGGCTGAAACTTAAGTTAGGCTTACGCTTAGGCATAGCTTAGGATTAGGTTTAAGCTTAGGCTTGGCTTAGACTTAGCTTAGACTATTTATCATCTAGATCTCACCGGCACCCGATGCGAGAATGAATGAGATCGGCAATCTGTTGGTGAAGAGCGTGCCGAGTCACCGTTTCGATCTTTCGACTGGATGACCCACGACTAAAATGACGTTTCATTTATTTTTTTATTTCATTAAAAGTATGAAAAGATTAAGATAAGATTCAATAAATCAAATTTAGAAAAACTTAAAATTTAGACAATTTCGTTAACTTACGCAAGCACAGCATAAAACGGCGAACACCACGAGGCAGAGAATCGTCGCCGCAACGAGGACCGCTGTAAATTATTGTGTACAAATATTAGTTGTTTTAATTATATTTTTTAAGTCCCGGTTCTTTGACATTATCGGGGGGGGGGTATCAGTTTTACTGTTTTATTTTGTTTTGTTTTTGTGTTTTGTTTTACTGTTCTAAACGTAAACACTGCACAAATTTTTATTAACAAAATAAAGATGAGATTTTTCCACCAAAAAGGATGATTATAGACGAAAATTAGCACTTTAAAAGTTTTTTTATGATAGTTTTCCACTTGAAATATAGTTACATTTTACTACAAATACAAAAAAATTCGGCCCCCCGATAATGCGAAAGTACCAAAAGTCTGACTCACCCCAGTAGATGGATTTCCCATCAACTTCGGCGGGTTCAGCGACTTGGGTGGCGAACCAGGTCTGCGGTTCCGCAGCGTATATCCCGTTTTTGTGCCGAACTAACAACGATCCGTCCATCACCTGAAATTCAGACTTTTCATGTATCCTCAAGCTTAAAAACATACCGCTTCATGAATGCGTTGCGCCTTGACGCGAGCATCCGGGCTCTGGACGACGAACCGGACGGCATCCGCACCTCGCAGCGACAGATCCCGAACCTCACGCTCGGTCAGCCCGAATCGGGACAACAGCGCCGCGAGCAGGTCGGCCTTCAGTTGGCCCCGGGCTTGACTCTCGACCTTGGGGCCCTTGAGCATGAAGCCCATTTCGTACTGCTCGCTGACGCGGCCATCGTCGGACAGTAAGGGGGTGTCCATGTTGAAGCCGATGCCTGAATTATGCGGTTTTGAAGCTCAAACTACTACCGGCTACCTTCACAGAAGCGTTCGCAAAGATCGCGGGTGGGGAAATTGTTCAGGTTGCCTCCACAGCCTCCATATTCCATTGGCAGGCAAGTTCGCTCGTCGGCCGAGTAGTAGTAGCGTTGGTTGGAAAGGGAACAGCCGCCGGGGTCAGCTTTGTCGTGGCAGACATGTCCTAAATTGTTTGGTTATTGTTTCGTTAATCGTTTACAAGTGTCGATTTGGTGCTTCCGCTTAATGCTAGAGGTGGGGTAGCGCCTTCTTTAATCAGATTTTTGAAAAATTGTTGCTGTTTTGACCAATTTTTAACTATTCCTAAACGCGAAAACGTTCCAAATTATCTCATTTTTAAAAAAGGCGAAAAATACCGATTTGTCCGGCAAAAAAGGCCGATTTTTGCCCAAAATTTCGACTTCAGGGTTTCTAAAAGTTTTTTAAAATGGTTTTTCTAGTTTTCCTGGTTATTTCTAGTTTTTCCACTTTTAGCCGCGTATAAAACACTCGGAGATCGACACGAAACCGTTTACAAATAAATTTTTTTGAGACTAAAAAAGAGCGAAAAACCGGAAAACTATAGAAAGAGCTCTATTGATGCTTTCCGAAATACAGGGTGTATCAAAAAAAAATGCCCAAGTTTGTCCCCAATTATCTCGAGAAGGAAAGATATTTCACCGTGCGTTACCATGCCAGAATGCTTAAATATGTCAGGAATAGGGAAATAACTCAACTTGATTTTTTCGATTTTTGAGTACGCAAGTGTACTATTGACGGTGGTTACGACCGAAAATTGTGCGTTCTTGAATGGGTGGTGGGAAAATTCTGATTTTTGGCCCAAAAATCGTTGGCATTTGTAAAAAGGTAATGGCAAAATCTTAGAATTTTTCAAGCTCAGGTTTTTGTTTTACAAGCAAAACAAATTTCCCTATTTTGCTTATTTTTACTTTTTAAATCGCAACTCGCTTCAAATACGCTGCCCATGGCTGATCTTTTGCAGATGGTGTCTCCGAATGATAATCTTTAGCGCAACACCAAATTTTACCTGATTCTATGGTATTTTAATATTGCGTGCTAAAACGTGCCCCAGAGGGGTACTGTAGTTTTCGTTTTCCGCGTTTTTCTTTTTATTGTAACCTGCGATTTCGCTGAAAATTTTATCATTGGGAAACACCGGTAAGGGTCACCTATGGGCTAAATATCGCGAAGTTCTAGCCATACACCTTCCCAAAATATGCAAAAAACCTATTTTCGAATTTAGCCACGGAAATTTCTAAATATTTTGATGCATCGGACTAAAAACTACTATTATTCGTTTTCCTGAAAGATCGAAACGTTTCTATGGTGAAAAGAACGAGAAAACGACGATTTTCTGTTTTCTACAGTAACCCGCCTGGAGCGCGTTTTAGCATGCCAAGACAAAATTCCATAAAGTGCCAATTTTTCGGCTTTAGACTGTTCACTGGGCGATTGTAAGAGCACCTACAAAAAATTATTTGATTCCTGTGGCAAATGACAAAGTTATAAGGGAAAGAGGAAAACCCCCCTCGGACCCCGATTTTGGACCCAACGCCCTGGCTCGAAAATCGAATTTTTGAAAATGAAAAAGGCACCGGGGTTTGGTGGATACAATTAAAGCACGCATCGAACAGTGTATGAGAGCCAAATTCTGGAATGATCTGACTAAAGTTAATGGTTGATCTTGATTTAAAACCCGAAAATAACATTTTTGAAAAATCGACTTTGAGGCGCTCTTCTAAAATCGTTTGCCATAGAAAAGTTTTTTCTTTGCATGGTTTTTAATTGAATACCCAAGCTTGGTTTATGCTAAAAATTTCACGGCTACTAGCGCATCGAGCATTTTTTTACATAGCCTCGAATTCGGGTATATTTGTCGAAAGTTATGTACAAAGTACATGACTTACGAGGTTTATTTGGTCTGTGGGGGCGGGCGGCCTTTCCCCCGGGGGTCCCGCAGCGACCCTACTACGGTAGGTAAATCGCGCGGCCTAGGCTCTCCCCGCATTTCGGGCACTTCTTCCCTTTCCAAAGGGAGTCGTTGCCGCCGGTCATATCTATGGCCGGTCGGGGATAGAATAGGAGCTGTGTGGCGGTTCATCTGCCCATAGCGACCTGTTAACCGGAAGGTGATTCCCATCCCCGTAGATCCACCATCTGTCTTACAACCAGAGCTCTTTCCGCCCCCAATCGTATTACCTCCAGGTTCTCTGGCCTTGTGTATTTCCTCACGGTGTTCTTTCTGTTCTTCTACTAATAAACCATTCTTGTCTATTCGTTCTCTATTAGTGGTAATCGCATTGGATCTTATTCATGGTCTGCAGGTGTCATCTTCTTGGCATATATTAGTCTTACAGACCTCCACTGACCCGACACCCGTGTATAGGGAAGTGTGAAGGGTCGTAGGAGGAATAGGTGGCAAATCCCTCGCGTGGGCATTATTGGGATTTATTCCTAATAGTGCGGGATTGCTATTCCTTTTCGACATGGTGCGTTGAGCCGTTGAGATAGAACCCAGGTCAAGATCCAGTGCTTTTACTTTCTTTTTATTCCATTTTTCCTATAATTATGGTTTTATTATTGTCCTCTTCTCTAATCTTTTTTAGAGCATCACAAACAGACCACATACAGAGAACACCGTGAACATTGAAACCTCGGTTTCACAGACCACCAGCTGCTTTATTGCCATCGTACAATGGCAATTTTCCAGTCGTCGAGACGCCCACGGCGGACGCTGGACCTCCCAGAAACAGTTTCCACGCCCAGCCCCCGGCCAGAGGCACTCTTCAGCGCCAAGCACCCCGCGAGCCCAAGAGGTACTGGCACTTAAATCCCTGGGTGCACGACTGGCCATCAGCTTATGGTCAATGTGCTTGATTGCGGTACGGGTTAGAGTTAGTCTCAACCCCACGCGGTGCTTCAGCTTGAGGGTGAGCGGGCGAAGAGGGGATAGATAACCAGTTTCTCCGAGAGCGGCGTGAATGTGAACCAGGTCTCCAGCTACAAGATGCCACCCAGACATCGACGTCAAATGTTTGGAGAACCCGGAGGCAAGACGAGAAGGAGCGAAGAAGCTTTGGGCGGAAGAAGAATGGCGATGATCTGCGCGATGTGGAAAAACAGTCCGGCGAAGCAGGAAACTTGGCGCAGCCAAGCCAGATCACGCTCCGTTTTACCCCCAGACCAGCCGCCAATTCATTTTTAGGTTTCCAGTCGGCCGGCATCGATGCCCGAAGGAAGGAAGGCCTGCTCAAAACAGTTCAAGCCGTGCGATGCGTTTGGAAGGATGTGGCGCGCAATCCAGTGGCTCGCGACAAGACATGTGGACCGAGCTGCCGCCTTTCTCACCCACAGAACACCGGTAACGATTTTCAATTTTCGGAAGGTTGCTATTAATCGATGGCCGTCGCAGCCGTTGATTTTTTGGCGCCGGAAGAAAGTTGTTAATCGATTTTTGAACCAGTTTCGACATTTTCGAGGTGTTTGCGCGCCAGCGGCCTTGGGAAAGTCGTTGGCACGCTTTCGCTGTTCCCAGTCCATCAATTTAGGACAAAAAATTCTCCCACCCTTTTTGGTTTGAGTTTTTTCTAGGCCCTCGGCCATTTTTTTCCAGGTCCTGCCGTTGAAGTATGCTGCCAAACAGTCGACAAGAAAGGATGGGCGCGCAAAGAGGGCGTTCGCCGTCCTCCCAGCCCCACCAACAGTCAAGATTACAGCATCGAATGGCCCATCCACGAAGAAAACACTCAGATCTTCGCTCCAGAAACATTACACAGAACTACTACAGACACAAGGAGTTTTTTTTTAGCCGCGCAAATCCGTTTGCAAGGCTCACAGTTTCATCTTTTACGCGTATTACAAACAGCCCCTCACTTTTTCTTCGCTTCAGCCGGCCCAAGCATCGAAGAAAGAAGAAATTCGCTGTGCTGGCGCAGTTGCAAGGAAGAAGGACGTGGCGTACAACGAACAGGCGATGAGATGGGCGTTGGCAGCAACAACACGATGATGGGCGAAGCAAAAGCAAAAGGTACGAGTTTTTTGGAAGGCTTTACCGCCGAGCTTAGGTGAAAGTTTTGTAGAGAACAGCTTGCTGTTTATCTATGATTCTGGATCCTAAAAGCTCTCGTTTGTAAGAGAATGTACGAGTTTATTTCGCTAACATTCTCGAACATTCGTTTCCGAAAACTCTTGCCATTTCGCTGCTGCGTGCTTTACATCCAGACCGCCACGCCGATCGTCTCTTGCCGTGATCCAGCATCACGAAAAGAAGAAACAAACAGATCTTCGTTTCTTTTTGTATTCACACCAGAAAGGAGTTTTTTTTTCGCGGCGTTACTGCCTTTTCAAAATTCACACACAGTCTCGCTCCTCGCAACTTGTCCAGCTCGATCACCTCGTGTTCCGGACGCAGCCGGACAAAAGAAGACATTTTGGACGAGAAGCATGGAGATCAAGGAGCTCAGCGCGCCGCAGAAGGAAGAAGAGCCTCTCTGGCTACAGTTTACAATCAGAAAAATTTGTAGAATGAATTTCACTTGGTGATTTTCATTTTGCACAGATCTTCGTCCCCTTTCTCTGCCCACCCACAGTTCTCCATCGACGGACAATCGCAAGGAATCGTTGGCGATTGCGCGCCTTTCGCGGGTTTCATTCCTGCGTTGGCATTAGCAATTGCCTCGAAACCAGCGTAATAAAGCACAGAACGGAGGATTGTTGCTTCTTTATCCAGGCCTTCCCTTCAGCGAACGTGGATGTTTTCAACTACAACCACCCCAAGAAGCAGCGTTTTCATCTACACACAGCTGTTACGGAAAGCCAGGACGAAGCCCCGCGTTTCGAAGACAATGAAGCAAGCTTCGGCTTGGTTTCACAGGACGCTTTCAAGAAGCGACTCTCTACGCACCCCTTTCCCAGTCGTCAAGCATTTGAAGACGAACAGTGCCGTTGCGTTGCGAGATGAAAAGCGACGTCTTTTACAGAGTTCAATCCCTTTTTCAGGCTTTCGGTACGCGCCCTCCTCTCAGCACTTCCGGTGCTGTTGGTGTGTGTTGCCGATCAAGCCCAGGACGCCGTCGTTACAAGAAAGGATGCAGCTCGTCTCGCGCGTGATGTCACAGGAGCCTTGGGAAAGCTATTACACACAGATCGCCTTTATTCTTTGGCGTAACCCGCCACTTTCACAACCAGTCCGACTTTGAGCCATCGCATATTGCGCCATGGTTCTTTGTCAAAATTTTCTTTTGTATTACACACAGATTGCCTTCAAAAATTTTGGTTTACATCCAGCCTCCCTCTCCCCCAGCGCCAGTTCAACACTTCTACGCGGACATTTGTCACTCTAATCGGATCGCTGAAATATTGCGTGACGAACGGTTTGACATCATGTCGTTTTCGTCTTCCGGGCACCACAGACCAGCAGCGGCGAGGCTTGACATATCCACAGATCGTTGTTTCAAGCCTTACGCACAGCTTTGCGTTTGCGTTGGCCAACTACCAGGCCCCAGTTCATCAAGCGGCTCATAGAGCGGCGAAATTTGGCATTCCTGACCACGTGAGTCAGATGTCAAATCCACAGACGCCTGGAGCAGGAGCGAGTGAGTGGTGGGAGTTTTCTCTCGCCCTCCCCTCCCCGCCAACGTTTACATACAGCTACTGCAATGGTCTTTCCCCCGTCCACACCCAGTTTCTCAACATTTTCGTTTACCCTCAGAAACGGCCTCTTCACTGCCGTGGTTGCTGCTGCCCCAAGTCACTCAAGCCCGATCCAAGTTGGTCAAGCTCGTCATCAAGCTGCCCCTCTTGGTCAAGCACTACATCAAGCCGGTGAAGCTCTTCGTCAAGCACTTCAAGTCAAGGACGCCAAGTCGAGCAAGAGCCCGCCGTGCCCTCGTCTCCATCCTGCAAGCAGTAACCAAGTACGTGTTGTCCCCAGCTTTCCGACAGGAGTTCGGGCTCCTTAGCGTCGGTTAGCTTCCCCCCTCCCTGATTGTGTCCCTTTGAGCCCCACCCCCTAGGACCTAACCTTACTTTTCGGCCCCTCCCGCTCCAGAAAGTGCCGTGATGTCTTATACCCAGCCCAGCCCTACCCCTCCACTTTACTTTGTGCGGTAGAGCTCCAACCTCCACCTATCTTTATCTCGGGTATAGGTCTCACCACCTTTTTTTGTCGGGGCCCAGGTCCCACCACTCTCTCCTGCATTCCAAGTATCCTCACGCCTTCCACCCAACACTAGACTGGATCAGGACCCCGTATCGCCCAAGTTGTGACCACCACCCTGGTGCAATCAATGTAAGCACAACCCAGTCCTTCCCTGGTCCAGACCCTAGTAGCCCCTGAAGCCTCGCGGCTGACGGGCCTCTACAAGGCGCGACCTCTCGGCTTCTTGTGGGCCGGGAGTGTCGAAAGTTATGTACAAAGTACATGACTTACGAGGTTTATTTGGTCTGTGGGGGCGGGCGGCCTTTCCCCGGGGGTCCCGCAGCGACCCTACTACGGTAGGTAAATCGCGCGGCCTAGGCTCTCCCCGCATTTCGGGCACTTCTTCCCTTTCCAAAGGGAGTCGTTGCCGCCGGTCATATCTATGGCCGGTCGGGGATAGAATAGGAGCTGTGTGGCGGTTCATCTGCCCATAGCGACCTGTTAACCGGAAGGTGATTCCCATCCCCGTAGATCCACCATCTGTCTTACAACCAGAGCTCTTTCCGCCCCCAATCGTATTACCTCCAGGTTCTCTGGCCTTGTGTATTTCCTCACGGTGTTCTTTCTATTCTTCTACTAATAAACCATTCTTGTCTATTCGTTCTCTATTAGTGGTAATCGCATTGGATCTTATTCATGGTCTGCAGGTGTCATCTTCTTGGCATATATTAGTCTTACAGACCTCCACTGACCCGACACCCGTGTATAGGGAAGTGTGAAGGGTCGTAGGAGGAATAGGTGGCAAATCCCTCGCGTGGGCATTATTGGGATTTATTCCTAATAGTGCGGGATTGCTATTCCTTTTCGACAATATTTGGGCTTTTCACGAATTTCTTTCGAGATAGCGTATGGCTGAATAAATTCGTAAATATACTATTTGAATGCGCCAACCAGATAGTATCAAACAAAAATGTGGCGAGAATTTTGGCGGCACAATTCAATTTTATAGAAAGGAAGTAAGGTTTGCAAAATAGCACGAACCAACCGTTTTGGGGGCCCTAAAAGGCGCCTTTCCGAGTGGGTACGGTAGCTCAAATTCTTGCAGAGGACAGATAAACCCCAGTCCTACATAACCAAGAAAACAACTTAGCCGAGTTCCATCTGCAACATTATAAATATTTTTCTGAAGTTCGTTGTCGTGACCCCAAAAAAATCCATGACCAGGGGGTCGTCGAAAAACTCAAAAATTCATAGATCTTAAAAAATTTTAAAAAATTTTTATGCGATTGTGTCGAGCCCGTAGATCTTCTAAAACCACTGATCTTGACACTTCCACCACAGGTTTTTGTAATACACGAAATTCACGAAATTTCTACATACAAAATTTCAGTGGTGCATAACTTTTGACCCAGACCCTCAAAAAATCTAAATTTTTTTAGGTGCATATCTGTTGCTTAGATTATTCTACATTGTAAAAATTAGAAGCCAGCCACCACAGGAAACTGAGAAAAATGCAAATGAAGTTTCCCCGAACGCACAGTTTTCGGGTGTCATTTGTATTGATACGTCGCCAAAAATCGAAAAAATCAAGTTGAGTTATTTCCCTATTCCTGACATATTTAAGCATTCTGGCATGGTAACGCACGGTGAAATATCTTTCCTTCTCGAGATAATTGGGGACAAACTTGGGCACTTTTTTTTGATACACCCTGTATAAAAGATACATAAGGAATACTCTAAAAAGCCGGTGCCTACTTTTTGTGACGCAGCACACCCCAGCCGTGCTTCCGGGTTTGGTGAGGCAATAGTGTGTGGCGGGACATCCGTTTGCCAGTGCCGTGCATTCGGCCACCGAGCCTTCAGCTCCAGCTGAATAAGGCTGACCGTGCGGGCATTGCGAGCTGGCGGGCGATTCTGGAAAATTTTCATTTTGCGCACTGATCGCGAAGATAAAACGTATACAACCTGAAACCCACCACCCCCTGGGCAGCACACGCCGCGTCCATTCCCATCCTCGCCAGCGCAATAGTAGTCGGCCGGGCACAACATCGAGCGGTCTTTCCTGTGAAAGGTATATATTTAATGGGAAATATCATAATTTTCATAATATAGTTTTTCGCGGTAAGACTCCAGATCCCCAGGCTCCCCAACTTCTGTATCTCGGCGCCATGTTGTGCTCCCGGGTTGTAAAGTCTACCAAAATGCTCCTCTTGATTCGGCGAGTACTTTGGTATACCTTACAGCCCGGTAGCAAAACTGGGAGCCGAGATACAAGCCGGCTGTTAACAGTCTACACCTACTTGCACTCAAACGGCGCAAACGTCCTCGAGTCGGAGGCGGGCGGATGTCCGCGAGAGCAAGGGTTCGGTTCGCCTAAAATATGACTTTCTATCGGGCTACAGTATGGGCTACAGATCGGCACAGGCAGACAGTGGCTCTCGTCACATTCGGGTGTTCGGAGGATGCAGATGGAAGAGTGCGGGCACCGGATCAGGGAGCACGGATCACGACAGGGGCAGCCTGCAAAGATTAGTTGGCTGAAAGAAACTGTTTTCCTGATGATCAAATTTTTCAATATAAATATAATTCTTTCAAAATCCCACAAATATTGAAAACAATATAAAAATCACGTTATCTTCAAAGTTTTCTAAACAATTCTACACTTGAAATATTGCGAAATTTGTCAAAATAATTTTAAAATATAGTTATTGCATTGTCAGGCTTTTTATAAACTTTTTAACTCAAAGAAATAACATACCAGCAAGCGGACACCCCACTCCGTCGGTTTCCACCCCAAACGGACACCCAACGACGCATCGCACCGCGCACAGAGCCAGCGGTGCTGAAACATTTTTGTCTCTTAAGCAAGCTTGCTTTTAGAATAGAAATAATACAATAATCAATAAAGAATTTATTTCTACCTGAGCAAACGTCTTGCCCGATTAGTGGGACTTTTTTCGAGCCGAGCACTTCGGCCCCGGTCGACGGCTCGACACAGCGGCAACTGCCCGACAGTTCGCATTGAACCGTGGAGAATTGGCCTGCAAAAATCAACAATGAGTGATAGCTATTAATTAAAAGAATAAAAACCTAAAAATATTATTAAAAACTAGCACTTACCATTGGCATGTTGACAAACCGGCTCCGCGGCCATCACCTGGCCGCCCAGATTGCGTATCGTGTCGTAGGTGACGCGCAGAAGATTGCAATCTAAAGATATGAAGTATAAAACGTACATAAATAAATATGTAAAGTATAGTATAAAAATATAAAAACTTTAGAAAAAACTTACTAGTATGACGAGGTGGAGATGATATTCCTGGAGATGGCTCGATCATTGGGCGGGCTGCTAAATGGTGTTGCTGAGATGATAATTTCTGACAGTAAACTTTAAATCCCCCCGCTAATAGCCTAGTACCGGCAAAGGGTTCTTTAGCATCGACCATCATAAAAATTCCAGGCTTGCGCCGAAAAAACTTGGTTTCCCACGCGAATCCTAAAGAAGCCGGAAACGCCCCCCCCCACGAAAACGCAAAAGTTCCGAATTGCCTATTTTTGGGTCTCACTTACTTCGTAGACAGCAAATACCCAGCCCAAGATGGCCGGCAATCGGGTAACACTCTCCGGTCGGACAATTCTGATGGGCTGGCCCGCAAAGAAGCGGAGAGCGCAATCGAAGAATTGGTGAAGACACGGCAGGGCAAGCCGAAGGGACGCCTGGAAAAAATGTTATTTCAAACCCCCAGATCGACCCAGTACATTTCGGAATTAGCGGGCACACGGCATCCAGACATTCCTCCTGTTGCACGATGCAAACTTGGCCGCGAGAAGCGCAGTCGAGCCGCTGTAATTGGGTTATACGGCCAAAATATGAAGTTAAATAGTCTTTTCTTTTAGCTCTGGGATAACTTAATGAATTCTTAATTTTTTTGCTCACATCACATGGCGATGCACACTGGCAATCCGTCAACGGGCACCCCGTCTTGTCGAGCAGCAGCCCACGAGGGCACGACGATGCCGCACATAGCGATGAACAAGGACGGGGTCCTAAAATTTTATTAGAAAAGGGCACAGCCAAAACCCACTCGAACAATCCGGCAACGCCCCGTCACTTCCGGTGCGCGTGCCGACGATTTCGATACCGGTGCCAGGGTGGGCGCACCAGCATTCGCTAAAAAAATGTTTCGGCACTATGTGTTCAACGTACTTTGCCCTAATATCGCATTGCACATCTTTCCAACGACCAGCCCGAGAACATTGGACAGGTGGTGGGAGGGGAGAGGCCGGTTGGCTGGCGGCCAGCGCTTCAAGGTGGGCGGCCAGTAGCATGAGACAACCGGGCAACACGACGCCGACACATTCCTTTCGACATCCCGTTGAGCAGCACTAAAAAAGGATTGTAGGTGATAGAAAACTACAGTTTTAGCGATTTTCTTGGCGTTTCTTCGCATTACTAGATTTAACAGACTTCTATGTTGTTTTTTACTGTTGCGAAAGCAAAGACTTGCCAGATTTTTATAGAAAATGCAAAAATTATAAATTTTCGAACAAAATTTCCATTTTTATAATTTTAAGATACTTTTTTACTTCTATCGAATACTTCATCTACCTTGCCTGCATTTACGGCATTTTCTTACTTTTTGAAAGCTCGGACAATCGTCGTCAATCCCACAGCGATCGTCGCAATTCTCCGAATCGTCAGCCAGCGGACTTGGCCGCGGACACACCCCGGCTCTCTCGATTATTGTAGGCTCTAAAAATCATAATACAACATCCAAACTCAAAAACAAACTCGTATATCCTCTCTCCCCAGCCGGCGCTATTTTTCGCATCGTCACAGCGTTCGTCTCGATCTCTGCGTCAATTTCCGGCGCCGGGGTTTTGTCCTTTGGTCTTGGTCTTTCCCACCTAAATTAGAGCTCAAGATCGAGGGCAACGAGCCACCTGTACATGCAGGAGACGCCGCACCCATTGAAGCAGCACAACGCGCCTGGGCACTCTTCGTGAGACGAGCACTGTAAGGGAAGCATTTCGTATTGAAGGACGAGCTATACCTGAATGTCGCAAGTTGATACGGCCGTCGCATTCAACCTGGGCAGGGCTGGGCAGGCCGGGTAGTTGCCGCCGGGTCCTGGATCGGATTTAAATCGAAAAGTGATACCAACCAAGGCCCCGACAACAATATCCGCGTCCCTCGAATCCGGTGGTGGTACAGTAGTGTCCGGTTGGACACTTCGTCGATGGTGAACACTCGATGAGCAACGATTCTGTGGTTAAGGGCGGTTGCGACGAGCGCGAGCAGGTCGAGGGTACACCTAAAAGCCCGTTCATGCCAAAATGGCAAATACCTACAGCGCGGAACTGGTGGGCATTTGTCGGCGTTGCATTGCACGGCGATCAAGCTAAAATCGATGATTTCGATTCTTGAAAAGGAAATCTTACGCGCAGTAATGCCCCTTGCGACAGACGACATCCCGGCACGGATCTCGGCATTCGCAAAGTGGGCAGCCGTCGGTGTCGAGTTGTAATCTGAAATTGCTATTGCTAAAAGCTCCAAAAAACCTACCCAAGCGGGCATTTCTTGGCGCACGGGAAAATTCGGCATGAGCGTGGGAGGCGGCATTTGGGCACGCGGCCCAGGGTTCTCGTGCCTAAATCACGGTAATTCTCATCTTTTCTAAGTTTCCTTTTTCTGCTCTTTCGAATAATTGATATAACGTTAAAAATAGAATTCACAAGCCGTGTTATCAAATTATACTTTTCGAAAACTTGCCAGCAATCTCGAGCCCAGCCTCGTCGACGCACCATCGCAGGCTGTGCGCAGCTTGGATGGCTTCGAAGGCCCCTTCAGAATCGCAGGTTGGGACGTGGTAACCGGCATTAAAGTTCGTCAGGGTTTGAGCAGAAGCCCGGGCATGAAGGCCTAAACAGGGAATGAGCTCGTAATGCCAAAAAGTCCATTTTTGTACGTACACGGCGTTGTGGCGTAGGCAGGGGCACAGGCTCTTCTTCCACATCCAACATGACAGCACAGCTCCAGTCCGTGGCACTCCTCATTGACGGCACATTCATCCTGAGCTCATTTTTTTTAGCTTTCTAAGGAGCACGAACCTCCTCATCTTCCCTGCCGGCGCAAAACTCCTCGGGCATGGCGACCGCCAAGCAGGCGCCCATTTTTGGCTCTTTAGGCGTCGGGGTTAGACTCAGCACTAAAATTATTGGGATAAAAGTGAAGAAAACGTACCAGCAGGAAGGCATGCCATTCCGCACCCATTAAAGCAACATTTATGCCCTTGCGGGCATGCATCATCGAGGACACAATCCCGGTTGCACTCCATGCTCACACCAACTCTTGGACAGGTCCCCGGCACGGAACGTGGTTCTGAAATTACATTAATTTTATAAATAATTAAGTACAGCTACGATATATGTCTAAAAGACATGAATATAATTGACAACAGCGACAACAAAAATGACAGTAAGTGACGCAACGTAGCATATTGTACTGCATCGTACGCGTCCGTACGTACAATATGCTACGTTGCGTTAAATTACGCGACGTTACGGCATTGTACAGCAAGACGCGCTCCGTTACTGTTACTGTATACGCTGCGGGTCGATAAGCTGCGATACAATACGCGATGTTACGGGACTGTACGCTCCGATAGGCTACGCAAGATTGCGATAGGCATTTTCATAAGAACGCTATTAAAACGCACGACTCTGCATTAATAATTATATGGAAATTAAAATTACTGATTAATGAATAACCCGATTTTGCAAAAAATCAAATTTAAAAGCGGTTTTAGCCAGTTTGCGAAACGCACCTGGCGCAGGGCAGCAGTATCCTCCCTGACTGGTATGGGCCCGGCAATAAGCTGCTGTAGCCGCATCCCGGCACTGGTTATTCTCACGACATTCCAGGGGCAGTAGCGAGTGTGAATCTAACTCGGAAAATATTACTTTAAAGCGCTATATACCTTTAATGGGCCCTCCGATAGGGCATGGGTTGATGACGCAACGCGGGAGATGGCGGCATGGTGGTTGCTGACAGTGCGTGGGAGGGACCGGGACGCAAAACGAGTCCCCTGGGCAACCGACACCCTAAAATCGTGTATTATTTAATTCACAACACCATTGAACGATAAGAACATTTTTCGTGCTTTACAGATCATGCTGTTCATCTGGTTAATGCCGGTGTTAGGAAGTTTAGTATTTATGTTACTGGACTGTTAGCGGGGGGATTTTAGCGTAGCAAAGCTTATTTTTATTTTTCGCCTATGTCTACTTGTTAATCATACATAAGGTATTTTTATGGCCTGCTTGTTAGTGGTTTTTCATTTGCTGGGAAACGATAACAACCGGGTTAAAATTTTTTTTGCGGTATTGGCCTGTATTTTATTTTTCGCGTATTCTGTTGTTTATTCGCGTTATTGTTCGATTTTAATAGAGTTTTTAGCCGTTTTTATTTGCTAGAAAGCTATAAAAAACTTTTAAACGCGCTTGAAAATCCGAAATTTGGACCTTTTTTCTCATTTTTGAGAAAAATTACTAACAAATCGCACACAGTCCATTAACAAATCGATTATCCAAAATCCAGATACCGTACCTTGCAAGGATCAAAGCAGGAACATGTTTCACATCCATTCGTGTCCAATGCTGGCCCATGGAGGCAGGGCCCCAGCGGTGCTTCACAAGATGCAGCCGGGCACTCGCGCGAGACTAAAAATGAAAATCGTCTTAAACATGTAATATAACCCGCGCAATTCGGGACTAGTGGCCGTCCAATTCGTGTCCCTCGTACTTCGACACCACCCTCCGAAACACACCAACATGCCGCTGCATCACACTGGATCGCCGCGAAAGAACCGTCATTTTGGGTCTATTGGGCCGATTTTTTAACAGTAACGATGTATTGATACCATCACGGAATATAAACATGTTAATACCATTTTATAGAACAGGTACAAAAAGCCCCCCCCCCACGAAAACGCAAAAGTTCCGAACTGCCTACTTTTAGGTCTCACTTACTTCGTAGACAGCAAATACCCAGCCCAAGATGGCCGGCAATCGGGTAGCACTCTCCGGTCGGACAATTCTGATGGGCTGGCCCGCAAAGAAGCGGAGAGCGCAGTCGAAGAATTGGTGAAGACACGGCAGGGCAAGCCGAGGGCACGCCTGGAAAAAATTGCGTTATTTAAAACCCAATCGTTTCAGTACATTTCGGAATTAGCGGGCACACGGCATCCAGACATTCCTCCTGTTGCACGATGCAAACTTGGCCGCGTGAAGCGCAGTCGAGCCGCTGGAATTGGGTTATACGGCCAAAATATGAAGTTTAATAGTCCTTTAGCTCTGGGATAACTTAATGAATTCTTCATTTTTTTGCTCACATCACATGGCGATGCACACTGGCAATCCGTCAACGGGCATCCGGACTTGTCAAGCAGCAGCCCACGAGGGCACGACGAAGCCGCACATAGCGATGAACAAAGACGGGGCCCTAAAATTTTATTAGAAAAGGGCACAGCCAAAACCCACTCGAGCAATCCGGCAACGCCCCGTCACTTCCGGTGCGCGTGCCGACGATTTCGATACCGGTGCCAGGGTGGGCGCACCAGCATTCGCTAAAAATAAGAGAAAATGTTTGGCACTAGCTGTTCGGCGTACTTTGCCCTAAAATCGCATTGCACATCCTTCCAACGACCAGCCCGAGAACATTGGACAGGCGGTGGGAGGGGAGAGGCCGGTTGGCTGGCGGCCAGCGCTTCAAGGTGGGCGGCCAGTAGCATGAGACAACCGGGCAACACGACGTCGACACATTCCTTTCGACATCCCGTTGAGCAGCACTAAAAACGGATTGGGGGATATAAAAAACTACAGTTTTAGCGATTTTCTTGGCGTTTCTTTGCATTTCCAGATTTCTACAATGTTTTTACTGTTGCGAAATGCAAAAAGTGCCAGCTTTTATCAAAAAATGAAAAAATATAGATTTTCGGACAAAATTTCCATTCTTATAATTGTAAGATACTTTTTTACTTCTAATATAGCTAAATTCCCCCGGATGATGCAAAAGTACCTTGCCTTCATTTACGGCACTATCTTACTTTTTGAAAACTCGGACAGTCGTCGTCAATCCCACAGCGATCGTCGCAATTCTCCGAATCGTCGGCTAGCGGACTTGGTCGAGGACAAACCCCGGCTCTTTCGATTATTGTAGGCTCTAAAAATCATAATAAAACATCCAAACTCAAAAACAAACTCGTATATCCTCTCTCCCCAGCCGGCGCTATTTTTCGCATCGTCACAGCGTTCGTCTCGATCTCTGCGTCAATTTCCGGCGCCGGGGTTTTGTCCTTTGGTCTTTCCCACCTAAATTAGAGCTCAAGATCGAGGGCAACGAGCCACCTGTACATGCAGGAGACGCCGCACCCATTGAAGCAGCACAACGCGCCTGGGCACTCTTCGTGAGACGAGCACTGTGAGGGAAGGATTTTGTATTGGAGGACAAGCTATACCTGAATGTCACAAGTCGATACGGCCGTCGCATTCAACCTGGGCAGGGCTGGGCAGGCCGGGTAGTTGCCGCCGGGTCCTGGATCGTATTTAAATCGAAAAGTGATACCAACCTAGGCCCTGACAACAATATCCGCGTCCCTCGAATCCGGTGGTGGTACAGTAATGTCCGGTTGGACACTTCGTAGATGGTGAACACTCGATGAGCAGCGATTCTGTGGTTAAGGGCGGTTGCGACGAGCGCGAGCAGGTCGAGGGTACACCTAAAAGCCAGATCATGCCAAAATGGCAAATACCTACAGCGCGGAACTGGTGGGCATTTGTCGGCGTTGCATTGCACGGCGATCAAGCTAAAATCGATGATTTCGGATTTCGAAAAGGTAAATCTTACGCGCAATAATGGCCCTTGCGACAGACGACGTCCCGGCACGGATCTCGGCATTCGCAAAGTGGGCAGCCGTCGGTGTCGAGTTGTAATCTAAAATTGCTATTGTTAACAACTCCAAAAAACCAACCCAAGCGGGCATTTCTTGGTGCACGGCAAAATTCGGCATGAGCGTGGGAGGCGGCATTTGGGCACGCGGCCCAGCGTTCTCGTGCCTAAATCACGGTAATTCTCATCTTTTCTAAGTTTCCTTTGCTTCGCTTTCCAATAACTGATACAACGTTCAAAAAATAGAATTAAAATCTGTGGTATCAAATTTATTGTACTTTTCGAAAACTTGCCAGCAATCTCGAGCCCAGCCTCGTCGACGCACCATCGCAGGCTGTGCGCAGCTTGGATGGCTTCGAAGGCCCCTTCAGAATCGCAGGTTGGGACGTGGTAACCGGTATTAAAGTTCGTCAGGGTTTGAGCAGAAGCCCGGGCATGAAGGCCTAAAAATGGAATGAGCTCGTAATGCCAAAAAGTCCATTTTTGTACGTACACGGTGTTGTGGCGTAGGCAGGGGCGCAGGCTCTTCTTCCACATCCAACATGACAGCACAGCTCCAGTCCGGGGCACTCCTCATTGACGGCACATTCATCCTGAGCTCAATTTTTTTTACTTTTCTAAGGAGCACGAACCTCCTCATCTTCCCTGCCGGCGCAAAACTCCTCGGGCATGTCGACCGCCAAGCAGGCGCCCATTTTTGGCTCTTTAGGCGTCGGGGTTAGACTCAGCACTAAAATTATTGGGATAAAAGTGAAGAAAACGTACCAGCAGGAAGGCATGCCATTCCGCACCCATTAAAGCAACATTTATGCCCTTGCGGGCATGCATCATCGAGGACACAATCCCGGTTGCATTCCGTGCTCACACCAACTCTTGGACAGGTCCCCGGCACGGAACGTGGTTCTGGAATTACATTAAGTTTATAACAAATTAAGTACAGCTACGATATATGTCTAAAAAACATAAATATAATTGACAACAGCGACAGCAAAAATGACAGTAAGTGACGCAACGTAGCATATTGTACTGCATCGTACGCGTACGTACGTACAATATGCTACGTTGCGTTAAATTACGCGACGGTACGGCATTGTACAGCAAGACGCGCTCCGTTACTGTTACTGTATACGCTGCGGGTCGATAAGCTGCGATACAATACGCGATGTTACGGGACTGTACGCTCCGATAGGCTACGCAAGATTACGATAAGCAATTTCATAAAAACGTTATTAAAACGCACGACTTTGCATTAATAATTATATGGAAAAAGTTGATGACTCCGATTTTGCAAAAAATCAAATTTAAAAGCGGTTTTAGCCAGTTTTCGAAACGCACCTGGCGCAGGGCAGCAGTATCCTCCCTGACTGGTATGGGCCCGGCAATAAGCTGCTGTAGCCGCATCCCGGCACTGGTTATTCTCACGACATTCCAGGGGCAGTAGCGAGTGTGAATCTAACTCGGGAAAATATTACTTTAAAGCGCTATATACCTTTAATGGGCCCTCCGATAGGGCATGGGTTGATGACGCAACGCGGGAGATGGCGGCATGGTGGTTGCTGACAGTGCGTGGGAGGGACCGGGACGCAAAACGAGTCCCCTGGGCAACCGACGCCCTAAAATCGTGTATTATTTAATTCACGACACCATTGAACGTTAGCACATTTTTCGTGCTTTACAGATCATGCTTTTCATCGGTTATGCCGGTGTTAGGAACTTTAGTATTTATGTTACTGGACTGTTAGCGGGGGGGGGGGATTTTAGCGTAGCAAAGCTTATTTGTATTTTCGCCTGTCTACTTTTTAATCATACATAAGGTATTTGTACTGCCTGCTTGTTAGTGGTTTTCATTTGCTGGGAAACGATAACAACTGGGTTAAAAAATTTTTTGCGGTATTGGCCTGTTAGCGGGGGGCGTTTAGCAGGGGCAAACAAGATTTTATTTTTACGCGTATTCTGTTGTTTATAGATATAATCGATTTTAATAGAGTTTTTAGCAGTTTTTTTTTGCTAGAAAGCTATAAAAAACTTTTGAACGCGCTTGAAAATCCGAAATTTGGACCTGTTTTCCCATTTTTGAGAAAATTACTAACAAATCGCACACAGTCCACTAACAAATCGATTATCAAAAATCCAGATACCGTACCTTGCAAGGATCAAAGCAGGAGCATGTTTCACATCCATTCGTGTCCAATGCTGGTCCATGGAGGCAGGGCCCCAGCGGTGCTTCACAAGATGCAGCCGGGCACTCGCGCGAGACTAAAAATGAAAATTTAAATATGTAATATAGGAACGTACCCGCGCAATTCGGGACTAGTGGTCGTCCAATTCGTGTCCCTCGTACTTCGACACCACCCTCCGAAACACACCAACATACCGCTGCATCACACTGGATCGCCGCGAAAGAACCGTCTAAAATTATAGATGGTACTGGGCTTTGGGGGGATTTTATTAATATTATATATAAAAATTTTTTTTTTTTATTTTAAAAAAAAAAAAAAAAAAAAAATTTTTTTAAAAATTTTTAAATAAATAATTAAAAAAAAAAAAAAAAAAATTTTAAATTTTTATTTTTTTTTTTTTTAAAAAAAAAAAAAAAAAAAAAAAAAATTTTAAAAAAATTTTTTTTTTTTTCAAAAAAAAAAAGAGGGGTACCAATCAAATCTCGAGACTTAATCTTGTCTCCTTTCACCGAGGAGTGATCCCGTTAGCGATCATCACTCGAGAACGCCCGGTTTTGCTTTTTCGGGCGATCCGGCTACCCCAGCGGGTGCGAGAAACCAGCTTATAGCCGTCAAAAACGGCGCTCATTCTCCCCCAGCTGACCAATGTTGCTATGCTTCTTTATATTTATAATTTTTAGAGGTATATTTTTCCAGGTATTTAACTTTTGACTTTTCTAGCAATAAGCTGCCAAAAAGTTGGCGGGAACGAACCGCTGATTATCCCGACCGGCGGGCCGAATGTGGGTTTTTCAGGGATTCGTTAGTAGAAAAAGAGGGCTTTTTAATACTTAATTACCACTCGTTTAAGATTTAGTAAAATTATCTGAAGGTCATGAAGCAATGATTTAGGCACAATTCCCAAACCTTATCACCTCGGACAATTTCCCGCTTTTCCCGTTCACCGACCAGTTCAACACGGGCTTCGAGCTGAACCCGGCGAATAAAGTGGTACGTTACGTTACGTTTTAACGAAAGTTGCCCATATTCTAGCGTTGTATAAAACCATGTCAAAATTAGAATAATGTCTAAAAAACTATGTTAAAATTAAAAAAAACTGTCCCCTAGGCCCTGTCCGGTGATCTAAATTTCCCGATTCCCGGCTGGGGCAACATCGATATGGATGGAAATTTGTACAGCGGCCACATTAATACCGATTTTAAGGTATGACATATACTGCCTCTAAGGTTTTAATAAGCAACAATAGGTGGGATACCAATTCCGGCCCACCAATCGTCTTCACATTCAACCGGAAACGCTGGCGCTGCTCGGGCAGAATCCGGCGTTCCGGGAAGCGAGAAGTTTGTGCAAGCTGTTTGAACGATTCCAATTATTTTAGAAAAAGCGAAAGAGGTTGTGGTTGGGCGTATTCCGTACGGTTACGAGCCGGTCAAGTGCAAGCCGCCGTATTGTAACCCCTTCGTTCACTCGGGGGCCGTCGCCGTCGAGTTCGAGCAGGGTAAACTCTTGGTCTGGATTCTACTAATGAAAGAGTAACCACTAAATAATAGTAAAATCGTGTCTTTTATTGTTTTTAGTAGTTTTCGCTAGATAAAAAGCTCAAAAAGCAGTTTTTCAACGTTAAAAACGTAAATGATTGCCCTTTTTGGTATAGAATCAGCCTTTTTCGCCGTTTTAGCCATTGTAATGATATTTTATAGTAAAGACAGCCATTAATGCTATAATGGAATTTAGGTGACGACACGTTCTTCATTGGCGGTCTCGACCTGCCGCTCCCTATCGGTGAAATGGGCCAGGGAGTGCGGTTCCCGTTGTCTGGGGCTGTTGAACAGGTGCGGGCGTTTTACAGAAATTATAGAAATCGGTTAAAAAGCACTTCCGGGTCTTTAATTTATATGATTAAAATAAACACGGTACTGGACTATTAGCGGGGGGGGGGGGGGGTTTGAAAATTCAAAGATTTTTACCTTTTTTGTATACCTTTTGACCACAAAATCATAAATTCGAAGTTTTTTATGCTTTTTCGGAGCTTTTAAAGCTAAAAACGTGTAAGAATCTATAAAAAGGATGGCATTGCGTTATAGCGATAAAAGCGAAAAATTTGGTCCTGCCTCCGCTAAAAATCCCCCTCCCCCGCTAACACTATAGTACCAAAACCGCTATGGATATTTCAGAAATGGTGTAAATTGGTAAATTCACACGTTTTCACGTCAAAACAGAGCTAACAAGGAGTGCCCTTTTAGTGTCATCGGCAAAACCTTTCGCGACCTACCTCATTCGATAGAGAATTGAATTCTGAACAAGCTCCCGTTGTTCGTTTTTGCGGAATGCCTGTCTCCGATTTTATAAAATTAAAAAACTAAAAACAGCATTTTTGGACCACGATGGTCGCGCCACCCCCCAAAACCGCCCCCGGGGGAAGAGCCGCTCTGACCTCTCCCCACCACCAGTAAGCGTGGCGCAGTGGCTAACACCACGGCCTACCGAACTTTTTTTTGTGATTAAAGCAAAAGTTCGAAACTCACGTCAACAATTCATTTTGCTTTTTGAATTTTGATTGCGCTGGCTTCATTGGTCAACCGCCATTTTATTTGAAGCAGAGACAATCGTGCAGCCTTTGTGAAAAAGCCTATGTTTTTGAAAACCAAGCGCTAAATAAGAACCTAGTCGGTGTAAGCCGACTTTTCTCAAAAATTCACATGAAATGTCCCCAAGGGGTTCCAAGCGTAACCTTATTCAAAAAGCAAAATGAATTGTTGACGTGAGTTTCGAACTTTTGCTTTAATCACAAAAAAAGTTCGGTAGGCCGTGGTGTTAGCCACTGCGCCACGCTTACTGGTGGTGGGGAGAGGTCAGAGCGGCTCTTCCCCCGGGGGCGGTTTTGGGGGGTGGCGCGACCATCGTGGTCCAAAAATGCTGTTTTTAGTTTTTTAATTTTATAAAATCGGAGACAGGCATTCCGCAAAAACGAACAACGGGAGCTTGTTCAGAATTCAATTCTCTATCGAATGAGGTAGGTCGCGAAAGGTTTTGTCGATGACACTAAAAGGGCACTCCTTGTAAGGAACGTTGCGCGCGCGGTCGCGTTGCGGGCGTGGCTGGCTGTTTGCCAATAGTCCACGAGCCCAGGAATGGACCAGACTTCTCAGCCCCTTTAAAACCCGATTTCCTTTAGGGTACCTCCCCATACGCGTATGCCCACGGCCAAGCCTACAACCCGGTGTCCATGTGGGACATGGAGAAAATGGAGGACGACACCAAGCCGATAAACATGCGCCGCAGGGCTCCGCAAAAATTCCCGGTTACGGTAGGCGAAGGGCAACCTTTAGCGCGATAATAAAAACTTGGAAAATCCAGCAAAAAAATCAATTAGAGCGCTGTTTTTTCAGGAAAAGAAAGAATTCTACCGCAAATTTTTCGGCCGTGAAATGGACGCGATGGAGAAAAGTGGGAAGAAGATGGAATTTACTTAATTAAATAACGCTTTGGTATTTACGGGTATAATAAATCAATAATATTGATTTTAAATGCAGTAGTGAATTTTCAATAAATAAATAAATAAATAAAAACCTACCCATCTCACACTGCACATCGTTGATCTGACCGATTTGTTGAAGCGCGGATTTCAGCTGCACACACGCGGAAGCTTTTTCCGGGTATGTGCAATACCTAGAGTTAGGGATAAAACTAGAAAGTCTAAATTCCCACTTTCGACACCCGTCCGAGCAGCACTTCTGGACGCCCGGGCAGGCCGAATCGTGCAGGCACAGGTCGACGGCACTAGAAATTTTTATTTTAGGTTTTTCGCATGTAAAATTTTTGCAAAAAAGGGGTGGTATTTTTAAACAGTTTTTCTGCTATTCTCCACGCAAAAAAATTACAAATTTGCATAAAAAAATACAAAAATAACGATTTTTTGGATAAAATTTTCGCACTTTTGAAAGCCTTTTTTAGATGGGAACCTTGTAATTTAGATACACTTTTCTGAAACACTTTAAAATACTTACTATTACCATCTAGATTTATCGAAAAAAAATTCTGAAACCCCCCAATAATGCACTAGCACCCTTCTTTTGCTATTAAACGACAGATTGGACAAAATTAGCAAAAATAATGTCGTCGACTAGACTCGAAATTCCAGGGCAATAAACCAGGTTTTTGCGCCGACAAAATCATACGTGGTAGGGCACTTTTCTTTTTCCACTGTTTCAGCCGGACAGCTGCCCGGCTTCACAAGTATTGGCGTTTCCGGTGCGGCTTCCGAGAATGAGGCAGCGGCCGCTGAAAAATTAAAAATAAGAATAGCTAATTTCGGCAAAAATCTTTTCTCTCTCACTCTCTCTTTCTCTCTCTCTCTTTCTCTCTCATTCTCTCTCTCTCGTGGAGAATGCCACCTACCGATGCAGCTCATCCCGCACCCATTGTAGCAGCACTTGTGTTGAGGGGAGCAGTGCTCGTCGGTCAAGCATTGCTTCTAAACAAAGGGTGCTTTTGCATTATCGGGGAGGCGGTTAACAGAGCCGATTTAGAGAATTTTAAGCAAAAAACACAAGAAATATCGATTTTTCAACTATAATCTCAAATTTAAAAATTTTTTAGAAGTTTTTGGAAGTTTTTCCCTGAAATTAGCGAAGCTTCCTCAAAACATCATCGAAAATACTTATTAAGACGCTAGGCATTCTGAGTTTTACAAAATGCCGCTTCCTCCCCCCGATAGTGGATAAGAACCGAACCTTGCACAACTCGACGCTCAGCTCATCGATAAGGGGAGTGGTGGCCGGGCAGGAGCCCCCGCGGATATTTGGCGTCGTTCCCGGGCAGCAAACACCGCCCGATGAGGCTCCAAACTGTAAATAAGTCATAACCTTTAAGCGCAAGCTTATTAAAGAAATTTTTAAGCGTAAGACGATACCTTATGACACCAGAAATGCCTTGGACAATCGGCGGCCGCCTGGCAGTTTTGCACAAATCCGGCCGAGGTGGTGAAGGGGTCGCCGTGCGGGCAGGCGTTTGCGATGCCTAAAAATGCAAATAATCTCTGCTAGATTGCCCTAAAATGCTCCCAAAACCGGGCAAATAGAAAAAAACAATTCGAATAAGGTAAGCGTCCCCACATCGCGGTTGTTTCGGGCATTCACGGTCGTCGCCATCGCGGCATTTCACGTCGCTCAACTGGCAAAATGAACCCTGGGGGCATTTGACCTAAAGTTAGGTACATGTAGACTAAGTCATAGGCTACTAACAGCTTAGGCTTAGGCTTAGGCTTAGGCTTCGGCTTGGGTTCAGGCCTCGGCTTGGCTTAGGCTTAGCTTAGGATTAGGCTTAGGCCTGGCTTAGGCTTAAGCTTAGGTTTAGCTGAGGCTAAGGCTTAGGTTGGGCACAGGCTTAGGCTTAGGAGTAGACTTACCTCCAAACATGGATTCCTGCAAACACATGAGGGGCATCCAGCTGGCGAAATGGTGTATCCGTGCGGGCATTCGGCGCGGCAGACCGGTAAGCGACAGGGAGAGAGATCAGCTGAAATGCGATAGATCTCATGAAAATCTTTAAATCACTAAAACCAATTTTTCATCAATACAAGCAAGCAATGCTGGAACTAAAAGTCAACCGATTTAAAAAAGCAATACTCACGTATGCAGGTAGGAATTGTCAAGTGTGGTACTCGCGTGCCGGCCTGCTCGAGCCCATTAAATTGATCGACGCAAAAGCAACCATCATCGTCGCACTTAGAAAATTTTCTTGTATGGAAAATAAGCTCCTACCTGGCGCTTGTCAAAATGGCCATCGGCAGCGCATTGTAGCACGGAACGGAGTGAATACAGCGCCGACGTGACCCAACGATGGACGCAGGCTGTAAAACGCGTTAAAGAGTATGTCTAGTAAGGATGCCTAGCCTAAGCCTAAGCCTAAGCCTAAGCCTAAGCCTAAGCCTAAGCCTAAGCCTAAGCCTAAGCCTAAGCCTAAGCCTAAGCCTAAGCCTATGCCTAAGCCTAAGCCTAAGCCTAAGCCTAAGCCTATGCCTAAGCCTAAGCCTAAGCCTAAGCCTAAGCCTAAGCCTAAGCCTAAGCCTAAGCCTAAGCCTAAGCCTAAGCCTAAGCCTAAGCCTAAGCCCAAGACCAAGCCTAAGCCTAAGCCTAAGCCTACGCCCAAGACCAAGCCAGTGAAAGATGTATATTTTTCACTTACGCGACGTTACCGCCGGATACAAGCACTTTTTGCCACAGCTGGTCGCACAGCAAATCCGTGACCCCTCGCAAGAAGCGTCCGAAGCACAGTCCGAGTTGCACCTCTTTCCGGTCGCTTCTTCTTCCACTGCCGCACAACTCGCCATTTTTCGCGTGAAGACCTCTGAAAAATAGAGCTCAATTTTCTTATTCCTCGTGTCCCCCACCTTTATTCCGTAGAAACACGGCCCCAGGGGAGAAGCCGGAACCTCCGGACGTCGTGGTAGGTATCGACGAGGATCCGGAAACGGTAACCGGGCGTATTGGGGTGAGCGGATGGGGGAGGAAGGCGTTGCTCACACAACGCAGGGCACAACCATCGAAGCAGCACTAAAAGGGTTGAAATATTTTGTAGGATCTTTTGCGTTATCAGGGGGGGAGGGAGTAATTGACTCCTTGCTATCGGTCCAGAAATTCCTAGTAACTTAATCATAAGTATTGTGACCGTTTTTGGTAAAATTTAAGTCGATTTCAGCTGGAAAATGAATTAATCAAACTTAGGACGATTTTAGGTGTCTGTTTGGTCGAAAATCGGTGATTGTTGATGGGATAATTCATAATGTTTGTATTTCTATGCAAACTTGTAAAGTTTTTGAGCTTAGGAATAGAAATATTCCTTTAAGCCCCCCCCCCCGTTAACGAACTAGCTCTATTTTTCTAGCTGTTCGCAATTGTTGCATAAACAGTTAGTTATACCTTTCCGACGGCACAGTCCAGGTCGACGATACATTCCTGATGACAACCAGGGCGAGGCTGTGGCTGTCTGGCAGGGCAGTTGCCTTCTCTAGCGTCCCGTTTTTCGCCGGGACAGCAGAAGCCGAGGCCGTTATAGCCGATCTGGGATGAGCCAATAGGTGTATCACGTAGTCGCGAATAAAAAACAAATTTGACAAACGATACGAAGGCGCCACCTTGGATTTTGGATTCTTGTGTATTAGCGGGGGGGGACTACAAGGCCAGAAATCTCGGGCAATTTGATTGCACGCAAGCTAATTTAATTTTTTACAAAACTTGGCTGTATTTTAAGTGCAAAACGTTTAAGAAACTCAAAGAATCGTGTGAAAATTCGAAATTTTGGTCGAAATCGGTGCTTTTTGATCAAAAATCGGTATTTTTGTCTTTTCGATAAAATTTGTAAAATCCTTGGGTTTCAATGGTAAAACAACACAAAAGCACTTTTTCTATTTATCTCGGCAAAATTAGAAACGAAAGAAAAACCTTCCCCCGATAATGCAAAAGATCCGGATTTTCACTTTTTTATTTTATTCCTTTATGATTTTCGGTAAATTTCCGTATGTATCTAGTAAGCCAGATCCCTCAACTACCCTTTCAAGGGTTATCGCCTGATAGCCGGAACTATCAGGGCCCCCCCGGGGGGAAATGTTGGATGCTGACAGGTAGGTAAACAGCGCTGTCGATAGACAAATCGCGGAGTCATGGGTAGCTAGGCACAAGACACCTCAGGGCCAACTATTGATTTGGGTATACTTTTAACAATTAATTAATTAAAAAAGCCTACCAGGTGGCAGAAAAAGTGTTGGCCACAGTGGGTGGCCTCGGTGCAGAGGGCCGTCACGCCGTTGCGCAGCGTCAGCGGATCGCCTTCCGGGCACGGGTTGATCAGGCCTGAAAATCTGCCTTCTTTCAAAATAGCGAAATTCAGAACGTCGAAATTTGTTTAAAATTCCTAAACTTTAAAATGCCGATTTCGGGATTTTAAGCTTCGACAACACGGAATTTGGTATTTATGCATTATCGGGGGGGGGGGGTCTGGATTTGAAGCCCAAATAATTCTAGTAACTGACCAGTAGGGAAGGTACTTTAATATCGTTTTTTGTAAATATTAGCAGAATGTTAACTGGAAAGCGATCTGGAAAACTTCAAAGAAAAAATACATTAGTAAAATTGGACCCTAGGTACCCCCCCCCCCTAATGCAAAAGAACCCAAAATTATTTTTATTTTAAAAATATATAAAATTATTTCGTTATTTCTATACATACATCTGGGTACGGGCAAACACGGCGGTTGGGCGCAATCCGGCTCGACGAGTTGGCAGGTTTCCCAAGCAAGGGAGCACCTGAAATCGGTTATTTCCCCTAAAGTACACCCAAAATACCGTATGCCATCGCAAGGGCTTCGGCACTCGCAGCTCTTCAACGGACACCCGCTGGTGTCCATTTTATGCCCATGCGGGCATTTGTTCGTGCAGGAGAGCTGGCAGGAGCGTGGGGCTAAATGGTTACGA